GAGACTTGAAGAGCCAATCTTGGGAAAGTGTTGATTGTACTGAAGTTATTACACATAATGGGCTGATGGGTAGAATTCTGCAGTCTGCTGAGATACTTCCTGTTATGGAATGTCCAGTATACTGTTATTACACACATTGCCTAATGATATAGAATTTAGTCAAGGGCTGTTTCTTGTCAAATAATCTGCTGTAAAAACAGCAGAATGTATGAACACCTGTCGTGATTAGAGGTTCTGTAATAGAAACGTGACATTATCATGCTGGTCATGATGATTTTTTGCAAGTGAAAAATAATTGAATTGCAAACTTTCTTCTCAACAGCATAATTGCATATCTGTGTGATTTTTAGTCTTATAGTGACCTATTGTGATTGTCTTTTGTCTGGATCTGTAAATTTTTTAACATTTTCATCTTCATCAATCCCCAAACCAATTTCAGTGAAATTTTACAGAAATCATTTCTAGCTTACAGATGAACCAAAAATGGTGAATTAAATGATGTCCACACAAAGGAAAACAAAACAAAAAGCAAATAACAAATAGCAACTTTATGGTAAATTCTGATGGTGTAAATGTTTGATTTATGTTTTAATGGGAAAATTGAAACTCATTTGTCGTTCAATCGCATAATAAAGTGAGAAATATTTGTTTCATTTCATCAAATTAATGTTGTGAGGATTTTGTGATGTGTCCTTTCTGAAGGTGAATATGTACTTCATTTCACTGACAAGACATGCTAAAAATCAATGGCTCCAGCAAGTCAAGGATGTTCGTGCTGTGGGTAGTGTGATAACTAAGTCTCCTAGATACTCTTCTTCCCTTGAAAGAATCATATTGAATCGGGTTAGATTAGACTTATTGGGTATTTTTTTTAATCAAAACTGATCTGGACCTAAAAACAGAGAAAAAAAAGGTATGTCAGCGCCTTTAATTCAGATGGTTTCATTTGTTCCAGGGGAAGAAAATACTTGGTGGAGTTTTTACTTTAATCAGTGTCAGGTTTGTTTATGGCTCTACAGTGTCATATTTGGTGACAGTTCACTTGATGATCCAAATCTTTCCCATGGTAACAGTTGATGTGATGGCTTGTTTCCATGGTAACATTTGACATGATTATCCCTCTTTTTCCATGGTGACATTTGATTTGTTGAGTTGTGTTTCCATGGTGACAGTTGACATTATGATCCTAATGCTGTAGTGATTTTGTCTCTATGGTGGCCATTGATATGATGATCCTTCTGTTACCATGGTGACAGTTGATATGATGATCCCTCTGTTTCAATTGTGACAGTTTAGAGAAAGTCCTGACAACTTTTGTGGTAACAATTTTATGTTGACATCTCTTTAATTTGATAACTGGACAGTGTCTTTGATGATGGCAATCAAAATAGTTATGCATGATTTATCAAACCTGAGAAAGTCCATTTCTCAAGGACATAAGGTTACTAGTGTTGTTGTTAGAATCAATTTCATTCAAAAATGCAAGTGTGTTTTTAAACCTGTGTTTTTTGGAGAGACAGTATATTTGGACATTGGAATTAATGGAAATGTGTGATGTTTATCAGAAGACTTGTGTTAATAATGGCTTTACTGTTGATAACCTTGGTGGATGGATCACCTTGAGTGTAATGTACATATGGTTCATTAGCATACTTGGTTGATAACCATCAGTGTATATATCTGTTTTTTCCATCACTGTAAGCTGCTTTATGGAGTGTGTGTTTGTAGGAGAGGTGGGTGACGGAACTCTCTATCTATATGTGTGTTGGTGTGGTATTGATCGAAGTTGTCAGTGTAAACTAGTCTTGTGCCTCCTGCAAGAAAAGAGCTCCATTGCATGTATGTTATCGTCTCCGTTAATTTGGTATCGATCCATCCTCAAAACAATACAGCAAAAATAAGCTTACATTGTCAAGGTCATACAGGCTTCATAAATGGAACATTCACAAAGTAACTGAATTGTAAAATTTCACAAAAATGAAATTGAAGAAAAGCATTTTTTTCACAATTTTTTGGGAGTCAAGATAACTTTTATTTTGAAATTAACTATTAAATACAGATATGCTTAGTGTAAGACATCTTTTGGTGACATCTGGAAATTCTTGCCATTGATATTGGTCAGTATTATAATTAAGTTGTTTCATATAAAATGAAGTCAGTTAGGAATTTTTTCATAAACTCTTTTCACTCTTTATCACAGTTTGAAGGTCACTTGACTCTTTAAAGTGGCCCCCACATGTGCTGTTTAATGTTGTCCTGAGATATTTGAGCAGAAATTTTACAAGCAGAAACCTTCAGAAGCAATTAGTTTTAATATTCATTTTAAAATGTTGATGTTGAAAGTGCCCATGAATTATGCACCAAAGCCTGACCCCTTCCCTATGAGGATTGAAAACATTCACCTCCTCTGAAGAGTGTATAATAACCCTTTCTTGATGCGGGAAGTTAGTTTGACCTTTTTGGTCAGTGTAGTTGATGTATGGTGGTTGATAAAAGTTTCAATTTTATGTGAATGTTATGTATAGGACTAAACCGAATGAATTTCTGTTTCCCTTTACATTATGGCAGTACCTTGTGTTTTCAGCTTTTTGTGTACTGTAGGTCTTTGCAGGAATTTACATTCCGGAGTTTGAAGAAAAAAATTTCCGGGATGAGAACCATTTGTATGGTATAGATATCTTTTGAGAAGATAAATGTCTAACTCAAAGTGGTGATTTAATACTGTTATCAACATGTCTTATGAAGTAAACAAATACTTTCAAAAGCTCACAAATACAGTTTTCAATCACTGTCTCTCACACATCTTCTCAACACAAGGAATGGTTGTGGTATATGGGAGATCTTAGTTAGTATTAAAATGTTACAAAAACACACGGGCTTTAGCGTGTGTCTTCATAACTTTTGGAAAATAAGTATTGAGATAGATAAAAAAATAATGACATATGTAACCACAAGTTTGTGTGACCAGTTCTATCCAAATAACAGAGTCATTCCGAAGTTGAATTGACCTGTTTGTACCCACATGTGTTTTGTTTACATCATTCCTTGGTGCTAATTAAGTGTAAAACTGACAATTTCCTAAATACCTAAATATTGTCACTCATTAAAATTATACCTGGCAGTAAATTGGTTTAGTTGTTATCTTCAAAGCAAATCAAGGATAGAAATCTTAACAAAAAGCATAATATTGCTAGGATAATTGTGATCTACTTGTTTCGCATTTGAATTTCCACAAGCACATGAGTTCATTCTGTCAGCCAATCAAAACATGCTAAATTGTTATACCATATGTGGTACAATATGTATACAACAGTTGGAACGATTAATTTATACCTTAGGAGTTACATAACTTACTGTAGTAGAAAAAATATTTCTTAATAATTTGCCTGTTTATCATTTTTTATAGGATCAGTATCTATCTATATCCAAATTGTTTTCATTCAGCTTTTATATTTACTGATTTCTTTCTTTTTAAAAACATTGATATTGATTTTAATCAGAAAGTAACTTTCACATGAATTATTCCTAAAATATTTTTCTTGTTAGTACTTCATCTGAAAATCCAAAGTAAAATGGCGAAATACTTCATGTATGATGTAACCAAGATCTCTGAAAGTTTGAAATCAATTTGACAGGAACCAGACAATTCTGTTACTTGGCCTGATAGGTTTAGCCAACATTACAAACTAACTCATTATACTGTACATGAGTATGCACTTGTCATTAGAGATTTAATGTCCCAGACTTGATTGACCAGCTGCTTCATAAATCAACTTTTAAACACTACATTAAATAGTGCACTTCCTGTAATGGATATTGTGTGTTAAATCTAATCATAATTAAACAGTTATCCTCCTCGTAAATGAAGGGAAGTGGTTATTTATCACGGTAAAGTTTACCAAATGTAATATGATTTTACCTTCCAAAATTTACAAAACACAATATTACATATAGATTTGTTTGTAGTTGTGAAATCTTAATCACCTGCAAGATATTCTAAAGCTTTTAATTGCTTTAAAAAAAGATTTTTTTTTTTTTTTTTGCTTCTTTGTGATCGTGTATATAATCTTTGTTCAAGGCTTGAAATAATAAGCATGTTAGTCTGGTCTGAAAGAGTTAAAATATATCTATTTTCGAAAAAAAAGTTCTGTGATACTGTTTACAGGAAGTGCTACCTGTTTTACATATAGTGTAAAGGATGTGTTTATCTCGGAACTCTGTTATTACCATACAAATGAGAAGTGCATCGGAGGTGTCTAACCTTCTAAACTGTTTTGGCCACTTTCCAACCTGCAGCAAGCCATAGGGAATAACATTTTTTGGGAGAGTTGGAGGAAGTGATTGTGAGGACTATACATCTTAAAATTTACACTCTGCCGAGCAGGTGGCAGTGAGTGTTATATCTGATCCTTGTTACAGAGGGAACACTATTATAGGATGTGCTTGACCTTTGAAATTTAAGCTTTGACTTAACTGGTACATCTTCCTATATTGGATATGGCTCATACTTTGTTTGACCTTTGACTTACAAGCTGTGACCCTATTTAAGGTCATAGTGTGACCTTTGACATATAAGTTATTTCCATATAGAGGATGGACAAGCGTGCAATGAAATTCTTGTTTGACCTTTGACTTGGTAGTTGGCTTTAATGACATAAAACTGTTGTTCATCATAGTCCAATAAAATTAACATCACCAGAATATTGATACTGTGGTGTTTACTATGTAATGCCACCTAACAATAAACTATATTTTGTCAAATTAAGACTTTGTTCTGTTGAAGATCTAGTGATGATCAGGGTATAAGTATCGTAATATACAACAAACACCTGCTTTCATTGGTCGTAGGTGTAGAGTTGATGTTTCTATTAATGAATTATCAAATCTTCATAATTTTTCAGAGTTAATTTGTCTACAAGATTAAGATACAGAAACGATCAATAGGAATTGCTCTCTGGAGTCAGAAAATAATATTGAATTATCTCCTCTTGTCATTGTAGGTGACATCCAACTGTTCGTCAGTGTATGTGGATGGAACAGAAAGACGAGGGTCACACAATGTTACCATTATTGCTAAGTCTGGACGCAATACAGCATTTGTTAATGTCAGAGTATGGATACCTGCAGAACACCTTGACGTACAGTTATCGGACGAAAAGCTTAGTCAGGTTCGAGGCTGGAAAGTGTCACAGCGACACCAAGGCCGTGGCAACCGAAGAGGGAGGTAAGAATCTAAAGCACAGTGGAAAACCCTTGACATTATGTTCCATTTGTCAGTAAAAATTAATTATATTAACTGTAATGTGACATAAGCAGTTGACATTACTTTTCCAGGCGTCTAAATCCGGAAGTGAACTTGTTTAATTGCCAAGCTGAGTTGGTACTTACAGAAATTAATTAAAGACAACAATAATTAATATGCTTTTTTGTTTTCCCAAAAGAACAGAAAGTATATAACCTGCTATCATAATTTATCTTGAATTATCATTTCATATTTAGTTTACTCATGATCAAATTCATATGTGACATTATATGTCAGTAGCTTCATAATTCATCCATCCATTACTGTGCAGGCTCCATAACAGGGCATCATTACACATTTTGCATATAAAGTAATAGGATCTCTGCAGCTTCTTTGAACCATTGCTTACAAAAAATCTGACCAAGTCATTTGAAACACTATGTTTCATATGCTGATATATCAGTGGTTCAATTCCCGGAATGGACGTAAAAAGGGATGGGGTCACCTGCCCAACCACGTAGGATTTCCCTGGGTACTCCACTTTCCTTCCACATGAGACCTCTGTACGCTTCCATCTGGGCCAACAAGAGAGATAAATATAAGATGTTTTGAAACAGGGCGTAGAGAAAACACAGTTTGAGACCATTTTTACGATCACCTTACCAGTGCTTATGATAATGCAATAAATGATATTGTGACCAGACAGATTGTTTCATTCTTCATTCCATATGATATGTTAGGTACCTTGAGAATGAACATGTGAGAAAGATGATAATGATATCACCAAAGACGTAAGTGGCCCTGTAATTTTTCGGGACACGTATGATGATTTTCTATATTCAGTTAATCAATACTTTTCTTGAAGCTTAAAGTTCAAATCTTTTCATTAGAAGTGTGTTCACATAAATCAGTGCTCCAGATAACTTTTTGACATGTGGGGTTTTCACTCCTACCTTTATAAATTGAGGGGTTTTTTCACCCCTGCCTTCATCAAGTGTATGGGTTTTTCCATATTAGGGTAACACTGAATTTGTAAACATTTTTGACAGCGCCATATTTGCTATGCGACTGGTTTATAATCACGATCAAGAAAGCGCTTGTTACGAGTTTCGTTTACTTGATAAGTGTCTGTTTGACTTAGATTATTGAGTTTTCTAACTACGTAATATTGGAGCCGGACATTGACGCAGAGTCCGGATTTCGCACGGGTTACTGACGCAAATCTTATTTTTTTCCTAGCGTGAAATTAGAAATATTGTGCGTGAAAATGCATTCACGCAGGCTATCTGGAGCACTGATAAATCTTAGGATGAGAGCATTCAAAATCTTTTGAAAAACATTCTTTGTTGTTTTGAAATTGATCCCAATATGCATCATAATAAAGACTTATTTTCAGAAATTTTTAGTAGTATATAAGAGAACTTATTGGCATGGTTACTACTGGCTTATACAATGTAGGCCTAACAATGTGACAAGTTTCAAGGGGTAAAGGGTTTTAAACCAATTTTAACATTTTGATTGCACAAGCCAGTTGGTAAACAACTGCACCAGACTGAGGCAGAGATGATATTTACGTAATGTGCCTTGGTGTGACGGCATTGACCTTGAGCAATTCCTGTCCTCATTTACCTCTGGTTTATCTGTGTTTTTCATGATAGTTGCCAAAATCAAGTGATATAAAGCATTGCCCACAGGAAAATGAGTAATATTATCAGATGTTCAATGACTTAGAATATATAGGGAAAAATAGCTATTTCAAGTAAACTTGATTTTAGCTGGAAAGTGATATTTACCAACTTGACATTAAGTGGTTTCAATGAAATACTTTAAAACATTGATTAAGTGTTATAACTAGCATTTGATATGTATGAAAATATCAATAGGACTTTCATGTGTACTTGTTTTTGTAAGATAACTTGTTGTGTGTACATGTCACATCCCCACTTTGATTACAGTAGGCCTGTTGTATCCTCTTGATAATTAAGAAATAGAATTTATCTTACTGCAGTACTAAGGCCCAGTATCTTTTCTAATTCCTCTTCTATCTTCCAGAAAAATAAAAAAATAAATCTGGTTTTTGTTGTTTCAGAACCCGGAATAAAAGACTTGTTGATCAGTTTCCAATGTTGAAAAAATATCGGAAATATTCTCGTGGTGGAGGTGGTGGTGGGGGAGGAAGTTGTCAGCTCCGTCACCAACAAGCCATAGTGGAGGTGTATGCCCAGTTTTATATATCCACACCTGGTGGCCCAAATTTCTTCAAAAGTAAAAAGGCTTGGCTCAGGGTCACTGATATGGTCATGGACAAACTCCGTGTAACTGACCCTCGTGTGGTCAGTCTCAATAATGGTGTTATACAGGGACAAAGTGTGGGAAGGACTGAGGTACAGGTATGTATACAAAAGTTAAGGTCATTATGTAAGGTCAGAGTGTAAGCAGGACTAAGGTAACAGTATATATACAAAGGTCAGGGGTCATTACACAAGGCCACATTGTGAGCAGGTCTGAAATACAGGTATGTATAGAGATACAGGTATGTATACAAGGTCAAGGTCATTATTAAGGGTCACAGTGTGGGCAGGATTGAGCTAAAGCTATATATACAAAGATCAAGGTCATTATACAGGATCACACTTTGGGCAGGGCTAAGTTGCAGATAGGCATGTATACAAAGGTCAGGGTCATTATATACGGCCACTGATATGGTATTGACCTCAGATCTGTGTAGACTTCTTGGTTAGAGGGTATTCAATGATATTTAAATAAATCAGTTAAGGTTTTTTCACATATTATATGATATACTTTATTTGTTGTATCATCACCAAAGGTCACACATTGATTTTCTGTGTTTTTCGTTGATAAGGTCATGACCCCGATGCGGAGGCTGATTGGTGGTAAGGAGGTCCGTGTAAGCAATGACAAGGTGTCAGTTGACCGGCTAGTCATCACCTTGGTGTCTGGAATCACCCTTGGGATCCATATTTCTCACGAGATTCCTGGTGCCCTGACAGCAATCTCACACATACAGGATAGACTGTATAACAAGTATCAGGTGAGTGTACCCTGTTAGACTTGATGGTATGCTCAACCAATTTCATTGTTTAATTTTACCCAAAAATTTTAATAAGTTGAGTGTGCCAGACACATTTAATGGGTCAAGTGTTCACAAGAAATGTTAGCAGTTTAATTTTACCTCAATATTTTAATGGGTTGTGTGTTCCAAAGAAATGTTGGATGAATTTTTCCCCAACATTAAAATGGTTGAGTGTCCCAGGCTTATAAGCTTATGCAATAAAAACCCATATTCCTTGAACCCACATTACATGAATACTCTCTATTTGGTAAGGCATTCTGTCCTGACTTTGTCCTTTTTATTTAATGGTGGATCCTCAAACTTCTATTCCTTAAATATTTTGTATGCCTTGAACTCATTTTTAGGCCCCTCCCTTCATGTTCATAAAATGAACATAACACACACCTTTGACATTTGACATTTGACCTACATTTGAAAGAAAAACATTATAACCACAATGAAGACATTAGTGTTTCACAAAGTGAGCATGCAATTAGCACATGCCTTACACAGTGAAATTTTAATGTCCTCACTGCAGAATGTTTTGCAACCAGAGGCATAGTGTTTCATAAACACATCTTGTTTAAAGGTTGCACTTTACCTGTAACTTTTGACAGAATCCAACTTCACCATAATTGTCCTGATAATCCCATGTGTTCGTACAATGACAGAACAGCAGGTGAATAGATTAATGGTTTTCATGAACTGTCATCTGTTGCATAATTTGATTGTATTATCTTCAAACTTAAAACTTTATTCTGAATGAAAATCGGGCAAAATATTTTTTATGACACCCTAATAAAAAAGAACTTTGACACAATTATAAATCAGACTGATCGAAGAATAGAATAATGAATGTGTCATTCACAGAAACGGGAAATTCACGGACGATTGCAATGACCAATCCAACATGGTCCCTAGGAGTTCATCTTTGCAGGGTTTTACTGTTAAATCTCTCAGAAGTATTATCATACTCATTATCTCAAATTAGTTATTATATTCTTTGTTATTGTTTTTACAGGAGGCTGTGCTGGATGTTTCTATACAATATTCTGATGGCACACATTTCCCCTTGGCAAAAGTGGAAGAGGAGGATTACATTCTAGATGTGTCCACTCTCAATCACTATGTTATTGGCATGGCTCCATACACAAATCAATACCAACCACGCATTGTTGCCCTAGGCCAAGGTCATGGGGAACTTCTCAAGGTCATGCTTAAACTTAGCAATGATTGTGCAAGGAAAAGGTCAAGGTCGGTTTCTGTTAACTATGTTGTTGTTGACTCTGATTTCTCTCCCGGCGGCCGTGTTTATAATGATCCTTTTGTCAGTGGTGGCATCTATACCGATAACAGAGCAAGTGGTCACAGCAGAGATTCAAAAAACATGAATATCAACAATAAAAAGCTTCCATATATATCACATCCTATCATCGAAAAAGACCAAGGTAAGGATGATAAAGATCGGAAGATGTTTCCTAAAAAAGATCAAAAAGATCTTAGTGTGATCCCCGTTGAATTTGATCTGGCAGAGAATCTGCGGAGTCAGGAAAGCCCACAAACAAAACAGGAACCAGTTCGCCAGGAGGAAATAGCCATGTTATCTCCTCTTGAGATAGGCATGTACGTCTTGTTGGCAGTGTTCTGTGTTGCTATTTGTGTGTTTCTTGTCAACTGTATTGTGTTTATGGTGCGTTACAAACGCAAGCATGTACCCAAAGGTAAGCGGTTAGAGACTGTAGCCCAGGCAAACGACTGGGTGTGGATAGGTCGAGCAACGCTGGAACGTAATGCCATCAACACCAAGTGCTCGCAGACCTTGATGCCAGCTGAAGACTTTAATGGCAATCACACGCCTGTCGCAGGTGGAAGTAGTCAAAACAGCAGTGGACAAAATTCAGCTGAAGCTAGTAATAGAAGTAGTTTTGTTTCTACCATAAAAGGGTCAGAGTGTAGCATCCGTATCACAGCGAATCCCCTGTTAGAAGCTTCAAATCCTCCATCTACAGTCGGCGAGGAGTTAGACAACAATAACCAGCGTCGTCAACTTCAGCAGCACATTGACCCAGAGTGGGATTATGAGGCCATGGGTATGACCTATGACCAGCTTGTCGACTATTTTGACAACTTGAAGGAATCCACAGCTTAGTAATTAATTCCTGTCAGCAATCATCAACAATTTTTCCATTTCGTGTGCGACAATTTTTAGTTTTCGTCGCATGAGATTGAAAGTTATAGTTACATGTATGGAAATGATTCACTAATTTCAGAAGGTTTAGATCTGAAACTAGTGACAGTACTTTCCCAAGCTGAAGGATTTGAGAGAGTAATCCCAATTCTTTATAGGTTTGGTGATGTTGTTCACTTTGTGAGGAGTTTGATATTGTTTCAAACAGAGGAAAGCACTTGTTTATTTCAAAAAACAGTTGAGGATGTTAGTTTTTCTTTTTTGTTGGAAATAAAACATGTTTGTTAAAAGACAAGATCAATGCAAAAAAGGAGATTGTGGATAGGAAGTGTGCTTCCATCTGTGTTGTGATTACAGCAAATAATCGCTGGCAATAGTTCTTGGCATGTAAGCCTGCTACCTCTAAGGCCGGATCATAACTTCTCGTACATCAGACAGGGAGTTACACAGTGCTAGTCTCTCGTCTCGATATGTCTGGTACCTTTACACGATACTTGGTACTAGGTGGCATCATAATTAAAAGAATGCCATATTTAATTATCTTGCTAACGTATAACGGCAATGGGAGGTAATGTAATCAAATTGAAGATTTTTTTTTCCAACTTATACAAGATTATGTACGAGAAATAGAATCTGTTACTTGTACAGTTGTTGGATGATGTGCTGTAATATCGCATTCACAGCTTCACCTTGAAATAGTTTTTTATAGAATGTCAGCCCTCGACTGAGATGGATTGATCTTTAACACATATATGTAACAGATTCTATCAATAAGCTACCTTGGATCCAGACTTGCACCTTAGAAGCTGGTGGGTTAGGGGTGTGAGGGGTGAGGGGATCTTACATTTCTAAATTACTGCAAGATCTAGAAGTAATATTGTAAAGAAAATAATTTCCCTCCCCTTTCCCCACCCCCCACCCCTAAAAAAGGATGAATTCCCATTATCACGATATGATATTGGACATAATACACCTTGTTACCATGACAATTGGTTGAATGTGGGTATTTAAAATTGCAGTGAATGTGGATTTTTTTTAAATTGCCAGCATGTGCACAGTTTTGTTTTGTTTCATTTTATTTTTTTTAACAAGAAACATCACAGGAGAATTTTATGGAAGAGATAATGATTCCATAGATTAAATAAAATGCAAATTGATATCACCTTTTGCTTTGATGCAAGACCTCAAATACAGAGTGAATGATGACATGTACCAAAGTTTGCTTGCCAGTTATCTGTAATATTTCATGTTACATAACACACTGTACAATTATTTACAATGTATATCACAAATTTATTACCAAGTACTCTACCACATCGCTTCATTAGAGGCAGTATGCTTTTGTGGTAGTATCTCTAACAAATTAACTATTGTTTTCAAATTTTGATATTTGAGTCAGCTCTTCTCAAAATTTCAATCAAAGGAAAAATTTGCATTGTTTTCATGCCGTCAATATTTAACAGTTTATATTTGATAGTACATATTCAACAAGGAATGATTTGTTACTTGTTATATAATAAGAAATGCAGAGCATTGATGTGTGTTAAATAGAGGCCAATGAAAATTAGAAAATCTGACTGATATGCAGAGATTATTATCATTTTATTTACCAAAAAATTCAAAAAGTTTGCATTTTTCTGTTTCATGTTTGTCTATTTGCTGATTCTAATATTTCAAAAGTATAATAAGAAACAGATATTAGAAAACCAAAATTAAGATGTCTTTTCCATTGATGTTTAAGTATATATAGGATCATCTACTGGGGGGGAGAGGGGGGAATCTTCAGTGAAATACAGGATCTTCTACTTTTATAGGAGGGTGCAAACCTTTCATCATACCCTGTTATTTATTCGCTATTTATTACATCATTTGTTAACAGCTTATTTATATATTGACGACAGATTGTAGCTTTGATTGATCCTTGTAGGTAAGGGCAGATGTAAATATCATAGATGTATGTATATATAGAAGTGTCTAGTTGACACGACACATTGTGACTACCGCTAAACAGATGGTGTACATGCACTTTACTTGGAGTCAAGAATACTCACTGTTTCATGCTGATTGACCTTTTATGTTATTGACATTGGATCAAAGGTCATGTGCTAGCAACCTTGACCCTTAGACCACAGACATTTGACTGTCAGACAAACTGTAGGTACATGCAGGTAATTTTAACTTTGACTTCGACCCATTACCAGAGGCTTTTGTATTTGGTCCTGGTGTTGTTTACACTTTGACCTATCTTGAGTTGTGATACTCAAGACTTGGCACCTGACCCTCAAGTTTCCTCAACCTTCAGGAGTCAGTTAGTGCACATGTCATGGTAGTTCCCTTATTGACAGACATTTTGTAGATGTTATTGTTGAGTAGTTGTAACCATCATTTACATCTCAGTTTGTTGTTATGATATCCTTAAAAGTACTTTACAATAGTAACTAAAAACTTTATTTGGAATAAAAAGAAAAAAATGAGAAAGAAATTTGAAATCATCTTCAAAATAAGTTAAAAGAATGTTCACATGAAACAGTTTAATTATCACTTCATTATGTACATTTTCTTTTTAGTGTATTATATACTATTTACTTATTTCTGACTGACCGAATGATTTTGTAAGGGCGAATGAAGGAACGATTCCTTGTATTAGTTATAGATTGAGATCAGTTTTAAGTGATCTAAATGTTTGCGTATGTATTAAATGTAGCCATGTTTTGTGTTGTATGACTCAATGTTATATTATCTTGTGCCATTTTGCTTAAGATTTTTTTTAGCATTTCTGAACTTTGATTTTAATGCGAAATGCATATCTGATTTTATGAAAGCAACAACAGCTGATTCCAGACTTATCAAATTTCTGGTATTAATGTATATTCCTTGTTTAACCTTCTATATGTCATAAATTATTATTTTGGAGAACTATTTTTTGCTAGATTTTAAGATGTTTATGTGATGTCTTCAGAAGATTGAACAACAGAAATGTACCTGGTATTTTAAAACCAGCACTCCTAAAGTGTTTGACATGTTTGCAGGACAAATAACAATATCACCTATTGAATCTCAAAAAATAAAAAATTATATTGATTATTAGGAAAGTTCACCTGGTGCTTTATTTTATCCCTGTTCCCCAAGTACACTTGTTTTATTGATGTAGGGGACATAACTCTAGTTCAGGAACTGCCTACAGTCTGTGTTCTGATATTTTCAAATCTGTATCAAAGACAACTTTTAAAGATTCAAATGATAAGATAATTATTCCAAAACTATTTTTCTTTCATTGTTTGTCCTGATATTTGTACCTTTTCAATCCATTTCTATATAATCTAAGGTTAGAAACCACCCTTTCTCTGTGCAAGCATATCGTATAATGGTGGCTGATTTCCCCTGTGGTCAGTGTTAAGTTCCGACAATATTTAGTTCTAAAATATAGTCATAGTAACACAGAAAGAGTCAACTCCATGTCTATCCCATCTCCTTCCCTCCCTCCCTCCCACTATCTACTTTCACTTAAGGCTTAACCTATTCTGCTCATTCTAGCTTTTCTTGTCAGCTGAAAGGCCAAAAGGCCATTAGTGGACATTAAGCCCATCAAATAATAGAAAAGAAAATATCTATATGTATATTTCGCAGTTTTTAACAATTTACATTATAGTACCTTGAAAATGAAATGCTTTATGTGCAATTTAGAAAATATGTAATATATATGTTTATTTGCTTTGTTGATATGGCTTTGAAACTCGAACAGTTGCTGTTTGTATATATATATATACATATATATCTGTTAAGTTCTGGTATGAGAGAGAGTGTGTCAACAAACCATCAAGCTTGTATGTTGTATAGTGAGACTGATGACCCGTGTTCTACACTAAATGTACCTTCTTGTACATATTCATGGTAATAATGCATTTACATTGAATTTTTTAAATGTATTACCCCCAAGTAAACAACTGCATGACTATGATCACCATTTTTTTTTATCAATTTTTGTTGAAAATTACTGATAATCAAGGGATAACAATATCTTAACTTCCATAATATGCTTCTTGAAATTATATTTAATTCTAAAATTTACTTTAAGGAGTGGAATTTTAAGAATGTTCTAATTAGGAAAAAGGTGTTCAATACAAATGTAGCATATATATATTCATGTGTGTTTAAGTCTGGTCATCTTTCCCAGTAAAAACATAGAATTAACTACTACAATCAGTTTTTAAAAAATCATTAATCCCAACATCACAAGCGCTTTAAATGAAGTGTAGAAAATTTATTTCATTTCAACAAAGATCTGTTTCTGATCATCTTTGTATATAATCATGTGGCCGTTTCAAAACCCCCTGTTGTATAATGTACTAGATGTAGCGTTACGTATTTTGTAATTCAAAGGTTGAACTATATAACATATTTGTTAATGTCCCACCATCTTTGTTGTCAACAAGAATCAACAAGGAAACACAAGAAATTCTATTCAATTTTGGCAGTACAAATCTAAAATCAAAAGTATATTACTTGGTAAAATAAAACTTGATTTACACATAGATAATTTACAGCTTTTTGTAGATATGATCATATATATATATATTTCTCAAATAAAGTTTTTAAATGAAACAAAAAATTAACAAGATATGATGTCAGAAGTTAGAGTTGTTGAAGCATAATTGTTTGTTTTTTAATTGTATCAGTGTAAATTGAGTTAGCTGTGACCTGCCTGCAACAGGGCTAATGTGTCCTTTACCCCAAGGGAATTTGTGACAAGCCCCCTGTAAGGGTTTGTTTTTGTTATGTATCACCTAGATCGCCTGGTCTAGTATAACGTCCCACCATTGGCTTGTGAAATCAACTGTGTTGTTTGTAAAGGGCTTTGTATATGTTTGACGATGTATGTATATCATGTTGCTAAACTCCATCACTTATATGATATATGGAATTAGCATTATTAAAATTGTTATTTTTAAGAAGAAATACACTGTTTGTTCTTCTTTATACTGTATGTACTCCTTTCAAATAGAAAGGGGACAAATGCCTTCCTACTCGAAACATATTTATACACCCACTTACTTAAAGGGCATATATTGTAATCACTGTTTGCATGTCCGCACATATAAAATACAGTTTACCTCCAGAACCACTCTGGCATCTTCAGTTCATGTTCACGCCATATCATCTTGTCAGTAAGTTCTACATTAGATGGCTAATAGCAGTCATGGTCAAACGTCACATATCTTGACCACTTTTGAAATAAAAAGCTTCATACAAGATATCTCATTGAACTATCGACTGATTTAGTTCATATTCTTACTTCAGAATTCCACCCATCAATTTCTCTGAGCAGATTTTGATGATCAAAAGTCAAGTCAGTACCATCTTTCCAAGTTTCCTTGGATGATGATAAGAGTAGTCTGTGAACTATCCCACAAACTTCAAACAGGTTTTAATGCAAGATTTTCTTTAATATCCAAACTAAAGAAAATGTGATGCAATTTTATATCATCCAGTTTTACTTCACCTATATATATTTTTGTACATTGTGGTCAACAAACAAAGTTTAAAGTCAAAAATTAAACTTAACCAATTCAAACAAGAGTTTGTCGTCATCAGATATTACTAGACCAATGTTAAACTGCCATAGGAGTTGTGGTAGTGCAAAGAATAAGACAAAAAACGAACCTGAATTCTCAATAGCTAGGTTGTTGAATGTATTCTTTTTATTATTTAATGAAATTTGGCTGCAGTGGACAGGACAATCAACAGATCATTTCAGACATATTAGAGCCGAATCCTACTGTTACTTTAAAATAGATTTGTTCAGCAAAGGATAATTTTCAACAATGGCTGTCATTATGCCATTGTCAAAGTCTTAACAAGGCTAAGAAATAACAATTTGTTGAGTTCCTGATTCTAGATTGTGGCAATGTTGTCATTTTAAATCAACTCTAACAATTACAAAGAATCATATAAAACAAATTTGGGCCAAGTCCCACCAAAGGAGCATTAGGAGAAGTTCAAATTGTTGAAAGTGGATGAAGGACAAAAACACATTCAACTCAAGGACAAGATGACACAGAATGCAAAAAAATGTAAGAAAATACTTTATTTCATTCAGATAAAGATACTCCAAGGGAGACAAGTCATACAGCCTTTTTTTTCTCCCCAATTCAATGTCTTGTTTTGGTTTAGATGAAACAGGAACAAATGTAGACAGACATTGCATAACATGACTTGTTAGTGACAGCTACTGATTGACCTCTCACATTTGATCAAAATAATCAAAATAACACACTCGAATACACCAGTCAGCAACCAGTGAGAGGCATGAAACTTTCACTTGTAAGACTTTTCAGGCAGTCTTAGTTGTCAAAAGTCTAAAATCCTGATATGATGACCACCTGTCAGCACTTTTTATCTCAATCAGTACCAAAAAAACACATGCACATGAAGCTTGATAATGATCTATCCAGAACTTCTCCAGAAATAGTTTGAACAATCTAAGGTCGTTATAAAACAAGATGGCTATATCACTTAAGACTGGATTGCCTGCATTATTTTCATTCTGCTAGACTATGCTTCAAAATATAACAGGTCATGGTTATCAATTCAAATGTCTGTGTTCAACTTCAAGATAGTCAAATACGAGGGCCGATTGATAAGTTGCAAGCCTTGTATCAATTTAAGTTTAGCAGTGATGTCCTTTTTCAGCTCTACTATTCCCTGACTATTTAAGGCTGTGTTACCAAATACTGGTGTCATTTGGTCAGCAGTAAACAAGGAAGGTGACTTTGGCAAAATGGACAAAATTGCTGAAAGAGCAGTGAATCAATATTACCATAAAAAAGGTCTAGCACCTAAGAACATCCATACTGATAAGGCAGCAACATTAGGAAATGATGCCATTTCATATGCTACAATGAAAAGGTGGGTGGTGGAATTGAAGTGTGGCAGGCAGAGCCTTGGGGATGACATCCGTCCTGAAAGGCCAGACACTGTTGCAACCCCAGAAATGGTCAATGAATTGTTATGACTGATAAATGAGTTACAGAGATATATAACCAATACAGCTGCAAGAATACATTTGATTCTTACGGAGAATCTTGCAATGAGAAAGCTTGTAGACTGTTGGAAACCAAGACTTCTGCCAGTTGATCAGAAGCACACCAGAAAGACTTTGTCATGTGCTAATTTGAACCTTTTAAAGGCAGATCCGACTAACTTTCTGCAGAGGTTTGTGACTATGGATGAAATGTGGGTCCATCATTTCACTCCAGAGGCCAAAGAACAGTCCAAGCAATGGAAGCACTCTAGTCAACCCTCATCAAAACAGGCAAAGACTGTTCCACCAGCTGTAAAGGTTATGGTCTCTGTCTTCTGGGTTGCTGATGGTAGATTATCTGCAAAAGGGACAAACCATCAATGGCATATATTATGCATTGCTTCTTTGGCAGGTATGAGAAAATATTTAACTCACACTCCATGGAAAAGTCAGTAACAGTGTGTTATTCCGCCAGGACAACACCCGTTCACAAGTCTGTCATTGGCATGGCTGCCATTAACACAATTGTGGCATTAAATTGATCGAGCATCCTCCTCATTCGCCTAATCTTGCTCCATCACACTTTCATTTTTTCCACAATTGACAAAAAAAAAAAAGGGGGGGGGGGGGGGGGGGGTTGTCATTTCCAACACCCACTTTTGGCCAGATGATGGTGTCATACATAAAGTGGAGGATTTTGTGAATGGTCAAGAAAAGGACTTCTTTAAAAGTGCCATTGAGGGTAAACATAGCTTGCAAAAGTGTATAGATACTGAAGGGGATTATGTTGAAAAATAATGCAATATGTCCGTCAAAAGGCAAACTCTTGAATATGAGGTGAACAACATATCAATTAGCCCTTGTATGTATTCGTACAGGACTATATCTTACTGTTTTATCAAAGGTAACATTTTAAGTTTCCATAGCTTGTATATTGATGGTTCAAATCTAACATGGTTTTCTCAAGCAGACACTCCATGTTCATACTTCCAACATCACATCATAGGCGGATATTTCGACCAGTTATTTGAATTGGTACTTCTACAAGTAAGAAACTGTTAAATTAGAAATAAAAAATTTCAAAATAACTTTCAAGTAACTTACCATGCTGAATACTTCCTAATCATTGCTGATGCTTCACCTGAAATGTGGCTTTTGCTAACATGAGGAAATTTCAAGACTCAAAACCCAATCAAAGATTTGTTAACCGAACTGACTAATCAGTATTGTTTTAAAATTTTTAACATAGACAGCAAAACACTTCTCCAGGAAAAGCAATTACAAAAATTGTTCAAGGATGGGCACAGGGCCAATAATAAATGTCCATGAAATAATGATCGACTTAAAACCAGTTCGAAAAAACAAGACAAGAGATCCAGGAGGGATCTTGGCATCCACCATCTCTTGATCATTAAATGCTCTTTGAAAGTTGGATCTTTTCCCTTCTCAGTTTTTGCCCTTAATGATAAGAAATTTGAACATGCCTTTGCAGAAACAGTGATGCTATTTTTTACCTGACGGTTGTCTGGAAGCCATTTTCTTTCTTCTGATCAGTACCAAAATAAAACATGTACAAGTAGAGACCAAAGGCAACATACATATGAAACTTAAGATGCACAATATAGCGATAACAAACTTCCAAAATAAAAAATCCAAAATCGCTGTCTGTAGTCCATTTTCTGATCAGACCCAAAATGAAATTGGCACGAGGGACCATGAGAAACCTACATATGAAATTTATGAAAGTACTTCTCAAGAAATGGTGATAACAAACTTTACTGGGCAAAATCTAAGATGGCCAACTGTCAGCCATATTGTTTTTCTAAGTATAATAACACACCTGAAAAGTCAAAATCCAAGATGGACACCTGGCGGCTTTTTTTGTTTTTCTAATTGGTCCAAAATTAGACGGGCCTAAGAGACTAAAAGGAACCTACATATTATGGATTTTGAGAGAGATCCATCAAGTACTATGCTCTAGCATAGTCAGGTTTTTAAAGCAATGTAAAGTTAAGGTGGAACCTCAATGGAAGTTATTATTCTTCGGTATTGCTTGTGATACACCCTTGTTGGTCAAATACCTTCTGCAGTTCCAAAATAAACCAGGATAAAACAAACTAAAGATAAAAAATTATTATAAATACACATTTTTTATATCATTTATACCAACAAAAAATAAATATAAGTAAGATTTTCTTTTGTTTTTTTTTTTAATAGTTTCTGTGTCATTTACAAAAATTACAAGTTCATGATGAATGATAACAATGATGAAAATGACCATAAATGTTAAGAGTCCCTGTCTCAATACAGACACATAAAAACATGAATAGTTGAAATTGAATGGCGTTGTCCCACAATGTTATGAAATGAAAACTGGAACACAGCCTAAGACATCTCCATTCGTACAGTTCTGTGATTTGGTACACTTTCAATGATCAACGCCTCTTCTGAAACACATTGCCACCGCCTCCTCGTCCACCGCCACCACCACCTCGACCACGTCCTCTTGCAGCTGTCAAACAATACAATAGCAACCATGTAGTGAGTTGGAAAATGTAGACAAATATATTAAGTTTTGCTTTGAATCATTTAAGCACACTATATAATATCAACTGCATATGATTAACGAAACGACAAGACATTCTTTACCTACAACCTTCTCAAGGTCTTCAAAAACGTTCATATATTTTGTTTTGCAATTATCTTCTTGACAAAATGTCAGCAGCCATGTTTTGTAAAAGTGAAAGAGGCAATGGAGCGATGAAGTCTGCGATAAGTTGTGCAGACAAGAAAAAATTGACGAAAATGAAAAAGCTGTCGTTACCTTGCGCTCGAAGTATTGCAGATTTTCCTCTGCCTGCTCCACCGCCACCTCCACTACGTCCCTGAATTCTTTTAAACATTGGGGCATTTTTTAACATGTCTGGAAGGATGAAAAATCTTATTTTGCTTCCCCGAAGGAACACATTCTCTAGTTGTGCGACTCTGCCATCTCTGTATGTAACGGTAATATTGCACATTTGAGTGTTCATATTATCTTCAGCTTCAACAAGCTTCCCCCTATATACTTCACCGGTTGTTGTTTCACAGGTCACAATGTGGCCCTCTGCTTCGTGAAGCACCTTAATAGGCACACCAATAGACATTTTGAAAGTCTGGTCGTGTTATTAAACACGCTCCTGCACAAGATCTTTCTTATAACAGTGCCGATTCTTATGGATTCGAGTTGCCGGTAAAAGTAAACACAAACAATGGCGCCCGACGCTAAATGTACGTTCCGGAAGTGGAACTCTTTTGGGATAGTTATTTTCATTATATATTAAAAGAATAAGTTGTATCATGCTGGGTAAGTTGATTAATTTACTAGAAGCTAGATTCAAATGTTATATTTATTTTGCTTTCGTATGGTGTTACTATGCATAAAATCCGATAAAACTATTTAAAATATTGAATTCTAGAAGGCATTCACCAAAGTTATCTGCTCTTCGTTAGGTGTCGCAACATTTCTTAAAACGGTCTATTCCAGAAGGTAAAGTTTCTGCGGTGTTTTCACTTCATTATGAGACGACAGGTGTAAAACTCAGCATGTGGATTATGATTTACCAAATTTCTCCAGTATATTTCATTTCTAATTGCCATTATGTACAAATATTTCAAAACAAAACGTACTGGACCATGGGAAAGTTCTTAGGTCGCACTACACCATTAGTTTCGCCGCCATTTTCCAATAATATTTATGCAAAGGGATATTGGAAACACACTCATATTATTTGAATTTATATACTAGTTATTATATATATGTATAAGTCTATGTTATGATGAGTGCATTGCAGTACAGTCTAAACGCTATGTGGCCTTGTAACAGAGCTGAACTGGTCAGAAGCAAAATGTATATTTTTTCTTATAAAAACATCCTTATTCAAGGGATATAACTCTACTTTTGTTGTTTCTATACAGGGACATAACTCAAGGAAAAATGACAGAAATATGAATTAGGATTTTAGTGGTTGGTAAATAAAACTGGTAAGATGCTGTTAATAATGGTGTGGTGTGTGAGTACACTATTTTTTTGTATATTATCCTATAATCAGTTTGATTAATCAGAAAATTAATTTATCAATTCTGCCCAATATTGGAGTGAGAGGATAACTGGAAACTGAGAAATCCAATTGGATAGGGAAGGAAAGAGAACTGATAAACAGAGACAAAGGGGGAGGGTAATGGTGTGGTCATCATAGAAACCAATAAGGGACAGAATGGATAAAACGTCAATCATCCCTCAGATTACCTGCAGAGTGTTATTGTGATGAAAACATGTCCTGACAATTCCACAGTTAGTTTTACACTTCTGTCCATTCACTGAATACTGAACTTTCATGAATAATTCTCAGCAATTTGTGCTCTTTGCTTGATAAAGGAAACAGAGGAATTTGAAAATTTGTAAAAACATAGTTTGTAATCACTGTTTGTTATAAAGAAAAGCATCTTAAATAAGCCCAATAGCCTGCATATAGGAGATTCTGTTCAGTAAAGAACACCAGTAAGTTCTAGATTTTGCACTGTCCTACAATAAACTCATGTTTTACTTTTACATCAAAGGCATACTGTTGGCTCCCTTGGTTAAAACATCTTGTCAGAAGCCATATAGCCGAACTAAAGTTGAGATTGTACATAATTGATCATGATTTTCTTCAGGATTCAGATGGAAAAATTTCATTTGATTTAAAAAAGTAAACTTTACACAATAACACTTTTTATTTGTAGGAGGGCAAAGATTGTAAAAATGGATCAAAATCAAACTGCAAATATACAGTACCGTTATGCATCCCAAACTGGTGAACTAGGGGAGGCTGTGGATCCAAGTGGTATAAATGTACAACCTGTTGTTGCTTTACAAGGAATGGTAGATAATCGGCAGGTCATCTACACAACCAATGATGGCGATGGACAATTACAGGTAAATGATGATGATGATGGACAATGACAGGTAAATCATGATGATGATGGACAATTACAGTTACAAATGAAAATCAAGATATTGATGAATAATTACAGGCAAATCACGATGTTGATGACAATGCATGTATATGAAATATGTAGCACAAAAAACATTATCAATAGTCAAGGGGTTGGCTGTATTTTTTCCCTTCTGGTAAAACTCTAAGCTCTTCCGATAAACTCATCTAGGAAGAATTTTGATCTAGAGCATTATTCAAACCACACATAAGATCCTAAGATTAATCACAAGCAGAGGCATTGATAGATAATGATCATTTATATTTTCATTTAGTCACGTAAGGACACAGAAAAAAATAATTGTGAAAAATACAGTGTATCTATCACCAGCATCACTGTGATTTATGGAAACACTCTCATGTAAGAGAGAGTACATATGTTGCGCTGATAAACTACTAGCCAAGGTTACCTACAGTCTCAGCTCTGAAAGTTATTTTCTCATCAGGGTTACTCCAATAAAACATCAATCTTGACACCCATAGAAATTTTAACTGATAATAGCAAGAAACTGAATCATAGCAAAATGTCAAGTGGATATTTAATGGATGAATATTGGTTATTTGTTTACTGGATACATTGCCTTATGAAAACCCAGGATAAATAAATTTAGAGGCGAGGTCTCCTTGAATTAGCTTGTGACAATCTCACTGAACAACAAATGGAAGGTCTGTTGCAACCCGTCCAGAGCAATTAGAGTGAAGTATATACGGTATCTTGTCCTAGGATACAACTACATCAACACAGACCAGTTCATTTATCAGCTTCCTGGGAAATTCAAACTGTCACAGATAGAGAGCAATGATCCACACACCTCAGATTTTCACCTAAAGTTACATATGCTATCTGTAAAACTAAGTCCTTCTCAAATTAATGTATACATAGATAGTAAGCAAGAATTTGTGTATTCAATCTTCTTTGATAATGATCTCTGCTGAAGTTTCATGGTTTTTATTTGTAGGTATATCACCATGATGGCAGTCCAGCCATAGCAGGTCTTGAGGGCCAAGACACCATTGTGTTTTTGGATGAAGGTATGGAGGTGGAGACAGAGACTGAGGTTGCCACGGCATCAGAGGCTGTAGAAGGGGTCAAGTATGTGGAAGAAAGTGGCGAACAGATGCAAAAGATCATCATCCAGGTGGCAGCACAGGATCAAGTGGTTACACAGCCACAGGTGCCCCAGCGTATTGTAATCCCAGGTATTATAGGTTTAGTTATACACCTTACAAACTAAAAGTCATATTGGGAAAATTTAATCTATTATTTATTATTGATCTTTATTATTTCAAAGCAATCAATGATCCTTTGAAATGGTGAACTAAAAGTAATATACATACCAATATAATTTAAGTATGAGAAGAACTTCTTTTATAAGATATAATGTGTTTATGTTAAGGTAAAATTCTTATTCTCTGGTCTGCTGTATTGATCTCAATAACTAGATTTTTTTGTGGTAAAGTGAAGTTGATCAATTATAGAAAATTATAATTGATCAGTTGTAGTTGAAAAATAAAATGACAAATCTATAAAACTTTAAATATTTATTGGAACTGTACTAATGACAGGTCTCTATAAAAAAATAACATTAATCAGAACTGTGCTACTAGCTGTAGTAACCAGAACTACACTACCTATAATCACAGATGTTTCATAAAAAAATATCAACAGTGAGTTACAAATGTTTAGTCCACTTTCATTAGATGGTAGGCTATTGAAATTGTCCTACTTCAGTGGTCATTTGTTCATCTATATAAACAAGTCTCTTTATCACCATTTCTTAAGAAGTACTGAAAGGATGTTTTTAAAACTTGACATCAAGGTACCCCTTTGTCCCTAGTTGACTGATCTAGACTGATCAGCAAGACAACATGATCGACAGGTGGCCATCATGGAATTTGACAATTGAGGTTTGTTAATGCAGAAGTACTCCTTGAAATATCTGGAGAAATATCGTAAGAATATTTCTCAAACTTGATGTGTAACTTCCTGTTGGTCCTTAGTTGTGACAATTTAATTTTGTGGTTGTTCAAGGAAACAAAATTACTGACCAAGAGACCATCTTGGATTTTGACTGTTGAGGTTTATAATTGCTATTTCTCAAAGAGGTCTTTCTTAAATTTTAGAAGTTCAGGATCCTTTTGTAATCAATTAGTTGAGAGGAAAAGGAGAAAGAAGGGATAAGTAGAGAAATAATCAATCTTGCATAGAACCGGTAAAAAACCAGTGATTTATTAAAGTAGCTATACTGACAGATCTTCTATGAAAACATTTAACAGAACTCTCTACCTTTACTAAAAAATCTTCTTTTAAAAAGATTTACCAGAATTGCACCATTTAAAGTGACAAATCTATAATAAACATCAGCCATAGTTATATAATACTTGTACAAGCCATTTCATGCACTCTTTATTTAAGCAAACAGAAATGTAGGTTAATACACAGTTTTGGTATAGGCTGGTGGAATACATTAGATCAGTTTTCATGATCACCAATTTATTTTCATAGTCAGAGAGTCATGTCAGTGCTTTGTTTTTGATAATAACTGCACCATTCGGGTGGGAACACAATAAGCCCATGCTTTTCCAGGGCATTACTTTGATAAAATTTTAGAAATGGAAATGGAGTTCATTAAGTTTTATAAATGTTAACAATATAGGAATACTCCAAAGTGTGCTTAAATCTTTAGTATGTGTATTTTCATTACAGGTTTGGAGAATTATGTTGTACAATTGGGCGAGCAGGAACAACAACCTGAAAACAACCAACTGTATCAAAATATACAGCCAAAATCTATAATTCCAAAGGTGGCCGCTAGATCTATAGAGAAATCCTCACACAAGTCACAACCGTCCTTTATACTAAAATCTCCACAGCTTGTCCAACAGAATAATACCATCCAGTCTGTCACACCTGTGTCTACCAGTCGTGGTGACCCATCACAACAGCCAAAAGTACTGATTAGTCAGAAGCAAGTGAAACACCAAAGAAAACGTCCAGTGGCACAGAATGAAAATACGGAGTACATCTATGTTACAAGAGTTCTTGCTTCTTCTAAATCCGAGAATAATGAGCCTGGAAAATCAGTTTATAACACCATAAAAGTTTATAAAAACACACCAAAAAATGTTGATGAGAAATTACAGGTGGAAGGATTCTCGTCACGAAAAGAAATATCACAACAGGTGACAGACCAGACTAAAGTGCAACCTCGGATAAAAATAGTGCCACTTGTTTCACAAGAGGTGGCATCATCGTCACAGGTGGTAGCAGTGTCACAACAGATGGCAATGTCTTCAAAACAGGTGGCAGAAGTGACACAACAAATGACAGCATCATCACAAGAGGTGGCAGAATCTTCGAAGCAAATGTCAACAGTGTCACAACAGATGGCAGTAACATCACACCAACAGATGGAAGCAACAACATGCCAGGTAGCAGTAACGCCACATCAGGTGTCAGCTTTGTCACAACAGATGCCAGAAGCAGTGCCCACACAGGCATCAGAAACGGTTTTAAAACAGCCTTCTCAACAGGTGCAGTTATCGAATAAACCTCAAACCAAACGGCAACATATGGTCTCGGTGAAGGGGGCAAGCAAAAATATCATTAGGAAAGGAGGTAATATTTTCAAAGTAGATCCAGTATCCAAGAAGATAATTTTTGAACCCTCTTCCCCAAAGGATATGGTGAGTTTGGATGAAAACTCCAAAAACAGTTCTGATAATACAACAAATGTTGATAATGGAGAGCCAGATGTTGCTGAGGAGGATGAAGAGGAACCAGAAGCAAAGAAATCAAAGCCAATGTCATATAAGAGCGTAGAAAGAGAAACTACAGGAGAGAGAGAAGGAAAATGGAAAAGGAAACCAAATAGCAGAAAAATTAAAACCAAATTTCGTTTTAGTCCTGAGGATGTGGCACCTCCCCCTAAAAAGCAAGCTACAAAACCCAAGAAAATTACAAAGGGGAAAACATCTAAAGGTGCAAATACAGTAGATCCAGGTATCAAGATAAAGGAGGAGTTTGAGGAGGCGGAGGAGGAAGAAAGTACCACTGCACCCAAGAAGAAGACAGATAATGAGGAAGAAGTCGAAGAGGAATTGGAAGACAAGAAATGTCGAATGTGTCTTTCCCTTCATAATGCTGAATGTCCATTGATGCGTCGAAGAGTTACATCATGTATTAATGACAATTCGAACTGTTTGAATTCAACCATGCTTTCCTTACAGACCATTCCTAAGGAATTTGTACTCAGTAGAAGAGACAAACACGGCCTTAGTGTATTTGCATCGGATATTATTAAGAAGGGTACACACTTTGGACCTTTAGTGGGTGATCGATTGACATTTGAGCAGATTTCACATAAAATGAACTTTACACATCTGTGGCTTATAGAGACAGAGGAAACCATCAATGCTGTGGATAAGAAAACGATTAAGTACAACGTCATCAGTACAGAAAATGAGACGAACAGTAACTGGTGTAGGTAAGTTGGGTTGTACAAAGTAGGCTTCAATTGCTAATGTAATAGAGAGTGTTCTTTCCATCTGAATTTTACGACAGCCTGTTGTGTGAAAAACCATGTCTGTTGTATAAGTTTGAAATTTCCTTTGGTCAAGTGAGGTATGGTTTGATAATTAACAAACACCAGGGGAGATAATTTTGTATAATACTGGTTTATAATGCTTAATTTGTTGTTTGTTATAGATATCTGAGACCCACTCTGAACGTACAGGAATGTAATGTCATCAGCTACTGTAAGAATGAAGAGATTTTATTTGTAGCAAGGGAGGACATACAAGAAGGTATACATATCTATAAACATACATATTTAGGATTAGATATTTCATCATCATTTTTTCAGAATTTGTACATTTTTATTGAAATAAAGGAATCTGTTTTTGAGTGGAAATTACCACAGAAACCAAAACTACAAGCAAAAGGTGTTCACCTTTTACACAAACATAGATTGAAAAATGTGTTTGCCAGCATTCAAAATTTTTGTTTTTTCCCATAGTTTGAATTCATTGAAAATATCTGTTTTTTCAGTAATAAGCCCAGAGAGGCAATTATACAGATTCTGATGGTCAGGTGATAGATTTGTTGCAAAACAACATACAAAAACATACAATAGTACTGATAAGCACTAGATATGATTGGGCTTATCACCAGGTGTTGACTTATTGACAAGTAAATGTACTTTTAACTTAGTAAGAATGAATCTTTCAAAATAAGTTTTGAAAGGTACATTTTCTGCATTTTAAGGATAAACTGAAGTTTAATGTGAATTTTTTATGTAAATTTTCTTTGGCGATTACCATGAAAGTTTATCACTATTGCATCTCTCATTTACAGGTGAAGAGTTGATTGTGTATTTTCGCTTCATTGAAGACCTTCATAACGAGATATGGTTTGCTGACCTGTGTAACCGTGAGCAGAAGTTGTGTAAGAGGTGTGAAGTAATGTACACAAACCTCGTCAGCTATGTAAAACACGTTCAGGTGTATCATCCATACTCCCTTAAAAAGCTGAAGGCCATCTGCAAGGTCAGTTGTAAAGATCGGTACTTATGTCAATATAATCTGGGATTTCTGATCTCATAGACCATGTAACACATTCAAAGGAATGTATATGTTTCACATACATGGGGTTCACCATAGCTTAGTTGGTAGAGCATTGGCTCATACAACCACAGATGAAAATCTGAGATATGTGGTTGACACTCCCTACCTTTGGCAGTTTACGTTTATGAGAAACCAACCCGTCTGTGCAGTCATAATTGTGTCCATGGGCAAGACACTTCACCACAGATGCTTGTGTGGTAACCCTTGACCTTGATATTGACTTTGATCAGATTTACCCTTGACCTTGATATTGACTTTGACCAGATTGAACTTTTACCAAATTGACCCTTGACTTTGATATGGACTTTGACCAGATTTACCCTTGACCTTGATAGAAACCCTTACCAGACTAATCTTTGTCCTTGATATTGTCTTAACTTACCGTTTACCTTAATATTGACAAAAATTTGCCTTGACCTTGATATGAACTTTGATCAGATTTACCCTTGATGTTGATATGAACTTTGACCAGATTACCACTTGACCTTAATATGAACTTTTACCAGATTAACACTTGACTTTGATATGAACTTTGAGCAGACTTGATTTGATGCCATATTCATTTACAAATCAAACCCAGCAATGATACAACTGTGTTGAATATTTTGTTTCAAGAAGAAGAGAGTAACTTGGGAAATAGATATAGCACAATATGTCTTCTACATCCAGTTACATGTTTATATGAATTCGTAAATATTGAAATTTCATGTTCTTTGTTGTTTAAACATTCTCTTAATCTTGTGCCCAGTAAAATTTGAAACTAGTAACACATGATCATATCTGGTATATAGGGAAAGAGTCCTGTTTTATAAACATTGGGCAGTATTTAATTGATATCAGTTATGCTGTAATGAAAACCTACACTATCCCAACAATTCCAAAATAAAGGTAATCTATCTATAGATTAGTCTTTAGCATGATGTTACAAAATCTGGCAGAAAGTTTATTTTTTACCAAAATAACCCTAGAGAGGTTTAAGACTACAGTATTTGTTTATTAACATTTGTAAATTGGTTTTCTTTCATAAGTTGTTGAAAGGAATACTTTCCCACTTACTTTGAGGTCAAAAGTTCATCTGTTATGTTTGCTGTACATATTTGATGTTGGCGACTTATATTGTAGGAATGTGGCCTTGTGTTGGAAAGTACTGGAGAACTCACTAAACACTGTAAAGAAGAACATCAAGGTAACGGGGCCTTTGTCTGCAAGGACTGCGGCAAGCAATTTCCAATACCACGTGGCCTTCAACAACATCGCAAGTTCTTTCACATCGTTGAAGGTAATTTTCCATGTGAACATTGTGGGAAATCATTCTTTAACAAGTTCAAACTGCGGAACCACATGCGCAACAAGCATTCAGGGAAGGAGCACAGGTGTGAAATCTGCAATAAGGTAGTTGGGTCTCAAAATGCCCTAAACCGCCATCGCAAGTCCCATACTCAGGAGGGTTACAAGTTTACGTGTGATCGCTGTGGAAAGTCTTGTCGCGATAATAGTAACTTGAGATCACACATGTTAACTCATATCAAGGCTAGGAAATTCCCCTGTACTGTTGCAGGGTGCTTGATGAGATATGGGTCAAAAATTGCTCTACAAATGCACTTTGCCAAAACTCATTTTCTATCAGCGGAACAGATCAAAGTGCATATGCTCAGTTTGATGAACACAAATGAGCAAGATTTGGAAAAATCGCAGCAGCAAGACGGTAGTGCAGCTGTTGTGTCCGGTACACAGACTGATCTTGTGTACGAGTTGGAAAGTGAGAATGATGAGGAATCAAGTGAATACAACTCGGAATGACATTTTTACATTGACATCACACCTTTTCAGAGATCAATAGAAATCATAGAATTGTGAATCCTGTTGGTATTTAGATCTGTCAGAGCATAAATGTACTTAAGTTACTGGTACAGAAAATAACCTTCAACAAGTTCTGCCATTAAATACTATAAACATTAACCTACCTCTTGGGGTTTTACCCTTTTCGAATTGCTTTATGATATCAACATTCAAATTTATGAATTTCAACATTGTGGAAAGCATACTGCTTGAAATATCTGTGTTGATCATCATTATGTATGACTGAATCCTTTATTTTAACAAGAAGTGAAAAAAACACCGGTAAAACAATAACTGACCTGATGGATATGTGATATATTTATTAATGTGAGTAGGAATGATAGTTTCAATTCTTATGCAAAAGTAATCGCTGTTCTGCCAATAAATAAAAGGTGGAAGCATGATAAAGTATCAAGTAGAATAAAATGGTCATTGAATAAAATCTTGGGCTGTTTTTACAGATTGTATTTAATTAATTGTAACAGGTTAAGTATATTTTGTTAAAATTGATTTTGAATTCTATCCAACTGATTATGTTTTGACTGGAGATTAAATCAATTTGTTCCAGCAAGCTATTGTTATAGTATTACTTAAATGATACATTAAAATAAATTATCATCATTTGTGAATTTTGTAGTTATAGAAACAAGAAATATGTCTGAACTGTTTAACACATTTAAAAGTACCCACATTTACAAGTACCCATCCTCAATACTGCAGGGGTTACACTCATTATCACTGCTGGAACATTTCATGGCAAAATTGATAGTTCCATGTGCAACACCTTGTGGATAAGACAAGATTATCAAGTTTAATGTGCATTAAATGAACCTCAAGGATGTGTCGCAATATGTCGTACTGGCTTTGGATGACACTCCATTGTAATCGTGAGATTGGTTAGCTTTTTACCCCTGATACCTCTTCTAAACCATAATTACTTTGCTTGTGCAAAAGTGATAGTAACCCCTTGAGTATCAAGAATGACAAGTACCAGGACTTTTAAAAACTACTGTCTATAGAAAGCAAAATTTGTAAAGAGCCCCATCTTGACCAGAAAACCAATGTTACAAATTTTGTCTACATATACAGACTTAAATGATGTATTGTAAATAATGTTATTTTTTTAATGACTTTCATTAGTGTTGTGATAAAAGGCTGGAAATAAAAAAACACATTATTTATTTTCAAAAATAATTTATTAAAAAAAAAGACATATTGTAAAGGACAATAGAAATGAGAGCTACCAATTGGTGTCGGGATTGAAGTGTTTTAACCAGAAATCACTTCAGAGTTATTTTGTTATCGCTAAAGTGTTAATAACACCTAGCAATTAATACCTTAGTTTAACAATCATTACAGATGATTTTTAAACTGTACATGAAACTGTATCAGAATCTATTCAAATGGCAAAGTCATGACAAATGTGCTGTACAGAAGCACTGAAACAAGTTTATACAATTGACAGTACCCTTTCTTGTAAAGACAGTATTGTACAGTTCTTCCCTAGAACATCAAGTACATTAAAATATCGTACTGCCTTCTAAATTTAATTTCAGATACACACCTACAACATATGTATACAGATTTCCTCTCCAAAGATGTTAAAACAGTACAAGAAGATGATATAGACATTGACTAAATCAGATAAAACAGATAGATGGTTAAAATGATAACATGAAATATGAGTGTGAAGCATTCAACTGTTGAAAATGAATCCCATCAAACTGAAAATCAAATACAACCAATGAAATGAATTAGAGTGAATTCAATTGTTAAAGCAGAACAATTTCTGCCCAAGACAATTCAATTATATATAATCACCTGAAATACGTTTCATCAACTTATAATGCAGTGAAAATTGTACATCAACTTTAAAAATGAAGTTTGTACTTTAAATTATTGCTATAACATTAGTTCTATGAACAACACTTCAGAAAAATAATGTTCTAGAATGTTGGAATTCTACACAAGACGATCAGTTTTCATTTGGAGTTTTTAGTTATGAACTGCATCACCCTTTCCTAGGATTTTACAGGATGCGAATCTCTCTCGACAACTTCAAAGGCAGTAATAAAATTATAACACAACAAGTAGTTTTACTTATTTTAGAGAGAAGTTTGGTTCTTCCTTTGGTAACACATTGATCAATCAATTCATGCACCCCTTATCCATATGCCTGAAATGTTTCAAGTATAAATGCTACCTTACCGAGACATTTACCTCCAATTCAGAAGAGTTCCATGGAAAGAAACCTGTAATGAAATGTATATATCCAACCAATGATTATTGTATAGCAATAATGTGCAGAAGACAATAAAACGACAACATAGCAGGTGAATCTGTTCACAAAAAAAGGTTTGAAGGGAGATCACTGTAATACAGTTAATAACCTTTATTTAACTTACATTATTTTACATATTGTGATTCTTAATCCCAGGATCCCAGGTAATGGAACAAATCGCTGGTGTATTGTAGCTTTTCAGGAGAAATGTTACCATGTTTCAAATAATGAATTATTTCACGAACAATTTGTTGAACAAGTTTTCTGTACAAACACTGGTATCTACATAGAACAACCGTCTATACAGTTCTGTACAACATATTCCATACATCAGTGTGACAAAGTTAAATAGTCAACATTTCTATACACTGTACAGGCATAAATCCTTTTTAGTAATGGACTTACACAAAATTCAATTATTTTCAAATGAAAATAATCAATGATCAAATGTTTGATTATCAATTCATTACAAAATAGGCCGGTTTTTGTAAACAATATGTGCAAATGTCATAAAGGGTAGCGGAAACAGACTATGAAAATGATTTTCTGTCTGCAATATGTGTGAAAATTGCACAATTTCTGATTTTGAAAGGAAACCAAGTAATAAAACCTATTTGAAAATAAGTAGTCCAGTTATTCATGCAAAGAGAAACACATAGATTTAACATTTTGGAAGGTTCTGTAATCCTAGCACTTATTTGTACAGAACAGAAATACCTGTTGCTAAGGTTTGATAGGTGGATTTCTCTTACAATTTAATGTGTCAATGAGTATCAAAATACATCTCAAAGACTGCTTAAACTTACAATATTTTGTGAATATTTCTGTACGATGTACATTACTCTATAGAGTGATAGCACTGATTCAAACCAAACCCTGAAAACAATATGGAAACACAATGTAGCCTCGATGATCGAAGCAGTTCAATTTTCATCAAAAGCTGATTCAGTGAGGTTGTTTGAATACCAATATAACTGAATTGCCAATATTTGCCCTAAATCATCAATGATGGATAAGATTATTTGTGGCTACAGTAACAAGGTTCAACTGTATGCCATTTTGTGTTGTGATGTCGTTTTCTGCTGTAGTAGTCTCCCCTCCACAGTTAAGGAAAGAGTAAGGTACAGCTTGTATCTTAAATATCAATGATAAAAAAACATTTCACCTTGGACTGTTTTAGGAACCAGTAAGTGGACTGATGCATGTAAGCGTCCTAGAAAGTGATATCTTAAAAACAAAAACCAGTATTTTTTTGTTGGTTCAATGTAAATAAAAAAATTAAGAGGAAAAACCTAGAAAAGAAATCTTCTGAAATGGATAGAATTTAGAAACTACTGAGTGATTTCTACACAAAAAAAATAAGAAGCAAAAAAGGTTTATGAGACATTTGAGTATCACCGATACCAATGGGGAAACTGATTTCTTAAATTCAAAGTCTGTTTATGTACTTCCTTATCCATTCATCAATTATGGATTTACACCCTACATAATCTCAATCACTTAAATTGGTTCTTTTTGACAGTGGGGAGGTAAACTGTATATTTGTATAACACAGCATTAACATTGTTATTCCACATTTTTCTGACATTTCAAAGCATTTGATTACAGTAATGTCAATATTTTTTATCCAGTGAAAGTCACACAAGTTGTCAATGCCATTTATGTGGACTTTCTGTTTCTGTCTGGTGATCTTCAGTTGAGTTTCTTCACGAGAAAAAACATCCACTTTTCCATCAATAGGTCTACAACAGTTTATGGCCCCTTGTTAAAATCTAGTTGTAAAGTCTTCATAAAAAGTAATCTGGTTGTGGTTTTTTGGATGGAATACCCCTTGATTCCTGAAAATCAAACAAAAAGAAAATTGAAACAAAAACGTAATTTTATAAATTTAATGTAGTTCTGAAATAGTGAAACTTTGATTGTTCAATGCTTGTAAGTAATATGGTATGTGCACTTGTTTTAATCTTTTCGTATCTATATTCTAAACTTGTCTAGAAACATCTCTCCCATTCTGGTGATATGTAATTATTAGCAATGGTGCTATTCTGTGATTAATTTTCATAAATTGAGCAGTGTCATTAATTTCCAAATCTATCAAATTTCCTTACCTTTAATATCAAGATATATATATGTATTTGATGAGGGATGGGGTCTCTAAAAAACTGAACTTTACTGTATTGGAAAAATAAACTATTACATCAGATCAATATTTTTCTCAAAGATACGTAAGTGATCAAACTTTTAACTTCACTTGAAATAAAACTTTGAATTATGAAAGTCAGGTGGGGTAAACAGGTGTAAAAGACTTCAGAAAACGTTTATAAGGTATACTTACTTGTGGTGCCGCTTCAAATATTGTGAAATCTCTTTGCAAATGTTCATCTAATTCTAATATCGCTGCTACATTACCACATCTGAAAATGATGAAATATCATTTTCAATACCTTAATAATGAGTTTACATAGAAAAAATTTCAATGTCAGATTACCAAGGTAATAATCCTCAAAAAAGAGGAGATAAAAAGATGAAAGGATAGCCAAAGTAAAACTTTTGCCATACATATCTACACTAACTAGATATGTTTGAATTATCATATTCCGGACATTATAAATTATTTAGATTTAAGTTTATACAAAAAAAAAAAATACATGACATTTATTTCCTCTAAAGATACAAAACTTAAAGCCATAGCTCTTTGGTCTCCTTGATCAGGTGGCTTTTAGTATAGATAGATTTTGGAAATTACCTTAAGTAATTTTTTGAGTATCTTACTTGTTGATATGTAAGTACAATGACTGAGATTTTACACTAAAAAAAGTATTCAACAGTATATACCTCGTAAGAACTAATCACATACAAGTAGTCTTACTTATTTTTATAATTTTTTAGTAATGTATTACAAAAGGAAGAACCAATCATTTCATGCAACCCTTTATGCCAAATTGATCGGATTTCTATCACTTACCTGTAACAATAATTTGGCGCAGACCATACTGTAAGAACGGTTTCATTGAAATGCCATTTATAGCCTTCCATTACTAGCTGATGGGCTCGACATATGAGGTCAATGTCATTCGCAGCATTGAATTGTGCTACAACATCTGACCCAAACAGGTAACCAGCCCCTCTCGGACTCACTCCCCATCCTTGCATATCTGTCAATAAATGAAGCATGATAACATGAAATATGCTTTCATTTTTTTTTAAAAGATTGATTTTGAAGAAATTAACCTTATCCATAGCTTTTTTGACAACTTTGCCTGGCAGTGGTTAGACAAAAAAAATTGATTACGTAACTAATTGCACCAAACACAGGCCTGGATTATGTTGTGAAAAAATAACAACCATAAACTTGTCCTACAAAATATTCAAACAGTCCATTTACTGATGCTGCACAAATTATCTAATGATTTGTCCGTTTAAGAAAAACACATTACAGTGGTTCCATTTCCTCTCAAATGGCCCCCAATTTTAACAAATTGGGCCAAACTGTTGCTTATCCTTGAATGAACACTGCCCAAATGATGTGAAAACAACACAAACAGTGATGCTTTTCAGGACTGTATCAGTCAAGATAATTACTTTAGCACCACAATGTGAATCTTTGCAGTTTACATTTCAATACAACAAACTGGCTATGTTCTTACCAAAAGATATAGATGTATTCTTACTTGCAAATCCTACTAGTTATTTTATTTGCAACATCTTGGTATTATTTCTGTCAGCAAGTTCAAAACACTATAAATATATTGCACATTAAAATATTACCCTCAGGATCCGACCATAGTAAGTCACACATGGGTCCGTCGTGAGGAACTTCCTGTTTCCTGTCTATTGATCGTATTTGGTCAAGGGTCTGAATAGATGGTGATAACCCACCATGTACACAGAATATCTGTAAGTAAAAGAGATTCTTATAAAATACATGAAGCAATCTTCAAAACGTCTCTAACTTTTTTAAATCATCAATTATGTTACATAGCTTATTTTCTCATCCAGCAATGTTTTTTTCTGATAATTTATACTTTTCTTTACTATTTAAGAATGTTCTCAAATATCAAGACAGAGATAAAGTAGCCAGACATGACAAGACTGAATTCTGAACATCTAATCCAGTTAAAGAGAGGTGATATAACAAACAGGATCTCTGAGAAAAACACTTAAAATAATCATTTTGAAGCACTATTTAATACTGAAAGCAAAAGACACATAACATATTATTCAAAATCTGAAACTGGTGCCACCTCATCCACATCCCTGTCTATTTTGATCTGACACTAAACTCTGTATATATACTGGTATAACTGTCTTTCAAACAACCATCTGTTCATATCAAACTCAAATTTTTCCTGTCATGCAATAATCTAATTGAAAACTTATGAAGGCCTTTACAGTCACCTAATATTCAATGTCACAGACTTATGCCTATAAACCTGTTGCAACTTTGTTTGCTGTCAAATCATTGATATGAACTCCTTACCTTTCCATCTATTATTGCAGATAAGCTAAGGTAATCAAAGATCTCTGTACAGTATCTCCATACAGTGATGGAGCCATATTTCCTTAAACATTCATCGTAGAATCCATAAACTTGTGTGATTTGTCGACTCTCATGATTTCCACGTATCAAAGTGATTCTGTCTGGATATCGTACCTGTAATAAAATGATAGATTTTTTCAGCATTGAGTCAAATACAATATCTAGCTGTCCATCAATACTGTAGACATATTTAATTTGATGAAAGCAAATTTCTTTGCATAATTAGTTTGGTATATTAGTGCAATGATCAATTCACACATCAAAATAATAACTTTATAATCAGCATATAGTCATTATAGAGACTGCAACAGGTGCGATACTTTCAGCACAAGAAGTAGTAAATTAAGATTGCTGTTTAATATATATGTATATGGTAGCTTTATATTTCTAATGTCTTATTCCATTCATAACACAAAATTTAGCATTAACAAATTTTCAATTCTCATCTTACAAAACTTGTTGTGGGAGACAGAAATCCTTCTGCCATCTTCATTTCAACAACACAGAAGAGTATGATACAACTTGGAATATTTCCTTTTAAGATAAAAGAAGTGCTTTGAACAGAACTAGGCAACTTCTGGACTTTTAAAAAGGAACTGACATACCCTTAGAAACAAGTGGTCACTGTTCCCAACAACTCTAGAAAAAATACTGTGAATGCTAAGAATGTTTTGAATTAGGAGCTTACCTTTAATGCTAAAAGTAAAAGAAATGTCTCTACACTGTAGAAGCCCCTGTCAACAAAGTCGCCCATGAACAAGTAATTTGTGTCTGGGACATCACCACCAACTTTGAATAATTCATTGAGATCATAAAACTGGCCATGAATATCTCCACATACCTGAAACACGAAATACAAAAACATTCAATATGTGTTAACAGATTGTTAAATTTATCAAAACAAAAGATTCAAATTTCTAAAATTTCCACCACTTCAAAAATTTGATCAAACGTCTTGTGGTATCTTTGTGGTATCTATATGACCATTCTAACACTTAGTTAAAGCTTTCAACATAACGAGTCCCCAAGCCTATTGTTATCAATTCTTTTGTGTTTTAAGGAATAGTGGAAAAGGCTTAAAACAGTACTTACTGTGACAGGGGAGTCCACTCTCTGGACGTTAGATTCCTCTACAAGGATCTCTCTGGCTTTAGCACATAGGGATTTTACTTCACTTTCCTTGATGATTTCACATCGTCGTAGTTGCTCTATTTGCCTAAACATTAACAAAAATCATAATATAATGTCAAAAACAGAGCAATTTCCAAACTAAAGAACAATCGTATTTAATACAATCTACACATGTGTATAATGTTATTTTTGAACCGTTCAAAGGACTAATTACCAATATAATTATATTTAACACAATCCAAAAATGAAAATTTTATTGTCAAACAGCCCAAAGGACTGATTACCATTCTAAATTCAAGTGATAGAAAAAAAAATGTGTATACCCAAATGCTTATTCAAAATATAAATTGACTCCCCTATTCAACCATTTTTAAATTGTATCAATACCATTATTAATTAAAGAAGTATTATCCTCCACAGAAAATTCACCAATAAGAATATGAAATATACTGATTATCAACAGATTAGGGTATTTTTTTGGTCCTTGACATTTAACAATATTGGAAGTAAGATAACAAATTGGAAGAGTCAAAACATGTGTGAAATAGACATGTCCTTGTAAGCTCCATTTTTGGAATTAAATAAATAACCTCAAATTAAGGTGCGTGTTTATTTTTGTTAATGTTAAATATCAATATAGATTTAATAATTTAAAGTATTTTCACTTAGCAAGTTATATAATTGTAAGTGCATGGTAGAAGGAATATCTGTACGTGCCTGCCATATGTACACACAATTTTAATTCATTTTAAAATGTTATCACCTATAAACATCACGTCATCAACAGGGATGGGTTTCATGACTAGACTTCACATTATAATAGTTGTGTGTACATATTATTGTAGGTACAGGGATGGGATATACCTCTAACACCAGTAAGTAGGTCAGTGGACCAAAGACTGGTTGTTATCTATATGAACATTTATTTACATAAGTGTAAATGAAATGACTCAGACTAGAGCAAGGTAGAATATGGGACATCTAAAAATAGACAATGAAAAACAAATAGGAGTAGAAATCAATAATCAACAAACCAAAACAAATTCAATAAATCTAAATTTTTAAAACTTTCTACAGCCTCTTGAAAATCATACTTGCTGAATGGCAGGTGTACAAGTATGTTGTAATTATCACACATCAGACTTTTTTCTTTAGACTACATGTTTACCTGTCTAAATCGCTGATTTCAGTCATACTAGATCCTTGATATTGTAACGCCTGGAATAGAAAAACAAAAATACTATCAATGTTCATAGATATTCTACAATGGATGAACAATTTGAAAGAAAAGTTGATCAAAAACCATTTGAAATTAGATTCTATTAAAGTCTCTACAACACGAATAATAATTACATAAAGAGACATATAGATCTAGGATAATGATTTGTTTGGGTCTTGTATTATGATGCACAGTAAATACATCTGAGTATATATACAAAGAACTAATAAAAAGGTAAAACATTTATTTGATAAAACATGCATTTTCTTGTTATAACTCATGTCCAGTAAACATAAATTATTTTCATTCTGTCAAATCATAAAAAAACCATTATAACTTTACCAATTACCTGCATTTACACACAGCTATTATATCAATATTATATTTAATGCTGATCACTGCTACCTGAATTTTCATTTACTTGGGAATTATATAATCACCACATAGTGAGTATACCAAAGACAAAAGCTACCTGATCAAATTTAACTTGATTTTGAAACCAAGTAATTGACTATGAAGACATTTCATACCACTGACAAACTTATCATTTTATGAATTGTATCAGAGCTTGAAATGATCTATCATTGCTTCTTACGCACATCTGATATTGTGCACCATTTGAAATCTTATGAGATGAATAGGCAATATTTTATAACAGTAACAAAACAAATAAGATATCAAACAAGATCTTAACTGTCGACTATATTAACTTCTTAACATATAGTCATTCTACTGAAAGTTATGTACAAATAATCAAGAGGATAACTTTGAATCACTAACCTGGATATATTAAAGGTATGTTGATGTGTGTGTAGTATCGCTGTAAACTAACTAGGGAACACAAGCTCCAGTACTTATATACACTGATAACTGTGATGATTAATGCAAGTGACTTTATTTTGGAACATGACATCATCCACAATCACATCAGTTCTGTTTATCAAGATTAAATTTAAGGGGCATTTTAATAATAATCTTTCTAAAACACTCTTTGTGTTATATTTTATATTGCTTATTATACATTCATCAACTTATCCAGGCTCATCATCAGTTCATATATTTTAATACTGAATTGGAAAAGGAACCCCTTAAAAAACCCTCTTGCAATCCCTGATCTTCTGATTTAAACTTGTGATCATGCAACTTTCAAATTATTTATTCATCTCGTAAATCATTTGTATTAAAGTTTTAAGAGTGAGAGCTCTGAATGCATCAGCCCTTGTCTGGACAATAAGATTAACTCTTAAAAAGGGGGAGTGTCTGAGTCACAGGTGATTCAATTACCAATATAGGAGCTGTAATTAAGTAGAACAGGTTTAATTGAATTTTCTAAATTACACACGTGACAGTAAATTGTATTGAAATAATTATTTGCATTATTAAAGATTTTCATTCAAACATAAGTAAACAAATAAAAATATTACTGTGCATCTACATAATGTGGTAACAGTGTTGAAGAAGAAAATATGGACAAGGAAAAAAATATTGCTTCGTTTATTATTTTTTGAAATCAATTATGCTGTAGACTCAAAATTCTATGGTTATTAACAGAAATAATATCTTGGCCACTATATGTCTATTGCCATTATGAAATAAGACAATTTTTAAAAATGTTTTTCACACTTTTGTTAGTGGTTAAGGTCTTGTGTCTCACTGACTTCTATTTAATGGCGTCTCGACAACAAACGTTGGTATTGACATGACGTTTGTCATGGTTTTTGTAGCTTCTTAAAGAAGTGTAATAGGAAGGAGTAATAAAAATACCCTGCCACCACTAGGGCTCAAACTAACGACCCTCCTGTCTCTAAACTCCAAGAAAGCATCTCAATCTCTTACATCTTCTATGTATACACTTGCAGTGGTCAATGCCACTGAATTTGTAAAAGGAAGAAGTATTGAAAAAATAATCTGCCACTGCTGGCATTCAAACTAGCAACCCTTCTGTCTCTAGCTGGAAACTTTCACTTCCATTAAACTAAAGGGGAATTTCAACTAGCTGAGGCTAGTGAGGTGACATACTCTCAACTTCTACAATACTCCCTTCTTCATAAAGTCTACCAACCAAAAGACAATAACAGCCTAGGTTAAACATCTCCAAGGAAGCATCTCAGTCTCTTATATCTACTATGTATTACATTGCAGTGGTCAATGCCATTGAATTTGAAAAGGAAGGAGTAATGAAAAAATGTCCTGACATTGCTGGAATTCAAACTTTAGGATTCAAACTGGCAACCCTTCTGTCTCTCACGGACACACTTGCTACCACTCAACTAAAAAGGAACTTCCAACTACCTGAGGCTACTAAGATGACTTGTACACCCAATTTCTACAGTAGCTAACTAATCGTTATATATCTGGTTTGACTTAAATATGAACATTTTAACTCAACGAAATTTTAATGACTCGAAAAGCATTTACATTACATTTCTTAATTATAAATCATGAAGTTACTTAACGTTCTTCTATGATAGCTGGACCTGACATGACCTGTCAAACAAAAATCCTGAATAACAGGATACTGTGCGATATGTCATACACACAGCTCGGCTATATAGATTTATTTGACTGTTAAAATCTTATTAAATTTCTTTATACATAAAGTTTTGAAAATGTACGATGTATTATATTCTACAGAGGTAAGACACGAGGAATAAGCAACCGAGATTGAGAATTTTGTGAGCAGTGTATCTTAAACAAATCTAAAAATCCTCTAGCTTTTATATCCAAGTTCATTCACAAATATATTCATCACATATCAAAATTTACTCATCACAGTTTGCGATTACTTTAATCATTCGTTAAACTTAGTTTTGCACTGAAAGGACAGTGATAAAATGTCTTTCATTCATTCGTTCCCTTTCAATCTATGAAGACGAGGGGAATCATTCGGTTTCAAATTTTCAATCGTCAAAATAACTATATTAGCGAAAATGGACGAGGACTTCGACAAATTTGTACGAAACACCTTATAAATGTTAGGAATAAGGACAAAGAACGACTCTTGTTTACATCCAATGAGGAAAACTTACCGATTCGTTATCCAAGCCTCCTCGCATTCTCTGTTGTGCGTCAGAAATTGAAATCTCGCGCATTATCGAGATCGGCGATAGTTCATGTTTCGTAATAAAATTACTTTAACGTTTATTTTTTCATTCGAAGCTATATTACTTATAAAAGTTTTAAACTGAAATTATACTTCTGTAATTATAAAAATTGTTCTTTGTATAAAAACTATTTTGAAATAATTCAAAATGCAATACTAACAATAAAACTGTTAACGGAAATGGAGTCGTCCGGATTTTTTTAGGTCAAGGGCATGTATTCATACAGTTAATGATAAAAATGCAAATCAGTAATCAATAGGACTTATTAAAGATTTGTTATTCAACAAGCGAATATTGAATTATGGTGAGGGCAAAGTATTAGAAAATAGTATAGAATAATATAACTAGGTGATATGGAAGATATTTAATTTGCATTTTTTAATCAGTAGATTAGGATCCGATGTTGTCAAAAAAAGAGCGGGGACTGGGGGAATTTTTGGAAACTCTGACCATGTTAAGGTCGAACGAATGATATGAATTTTTTAATTATCCGACAGCAAAGTCAGTAATACGGGGTAACAATCAACTCATTATTATCTTTATTTTATACAACACGAAGTAATTAAATGAATTCACTGCTACCATACCGGATGTCAATATTAACTGCTGTGCCGGTAAACATTTAAATTGAAATGCGGCACTATTTAATGTGCTAGATTTGTTTCTTGGCCTGGAATGCCTGCCGTGCATCATGAGGGACAAATTGGCCATTTTTTGGCATGAGAACCGAAAATGAAATAGCACTGGTTCTGTTAGTCCAATAAACAATTGCACCAGCCGTCTGGTTTGGGTCCCTATTTTTCATTTTACCTGAATTTCGATTATTTACGGACAAGTAAAACTAGACTCAAGATATCCATTTGATATAAACAAGCAAATTCATGGAACTTATACCCCACCGCTTTCCAAGCATATTGTAAGTAAATATTTTAGAGGTTATTATATTTAGGAAAGTTAGAGCACAAAAACTAAACGACCAATGAAATGAAAGGATACCTAATTAGTATGCATAGATATTAACAGGTGATGCTGATTGCTGTACTCAGTCTTATGTGCCCTAATATGCATCTGCTAACCAAGTTTCATCTAAATCGGATTATATTTAGAGAAGTTAGAGCACGGAAATGAACCGACCAATAAAATTAAAGGATACCTCATTAGTATGCATAATTATTAACAGATGACACTGATAGTCAAACTTAGTCTTAATGACCCCAAGATGCATCTGCTGACCAAGTTTCACCCAAATTGGATGATATTTGGGAAAGTTACAACACGGAAACGAAAGTGTGACAGACAGACGGACGGACGGACGGACAAACCCAAATTAATATCCCCCGTTCGGTGAAAGCGGGGAATAATTATCCATTTAACAAATAAGAAAACTGTTTTATGCCAACCAAATCAACAGAACTAACCTAACGGTCTAGTTACTTCGACAACGTTTTATATATATATATATAAATATATGTCAAGCGTCTAAGTGCCTCAACCGACTTGGAGGTTTTTTTTTTTTTTTCCATTTTTTTAATTTCTTTTTCAACGGTCGGGATAAAGTTTACTCTAACTATATGGTTTAATTTTATAGCTGATGCAGACACTTCAAAATGTTAATTCTGTTTTATAGGGAAAGGTAGACATGTATCAATAGATGATATTTTGTTTACTTCATTGGAAATAAATAAATAATTTACGATCTTTCTATTGCTAAAGTTCTTCGTTATTTTAATTTGTTTAAACATAAAGCACTCATATATGTTAAAATGACGATCATAGTGATTTAAATACGGATTGTATTTTCCGGTTTTTTTTTCAGATCGTTAGAAGTTTGATAATTTGTCCGAATATTACTTATCTATTGACATAGGTTTATAATGAGTAATACTGCGACAATATGTTGTTATCAGAACATATAACTTAAAATTATGGTTAGTCTCTGCCTCGACGGAAATTCTTCATATATTACTATGTTTTTTGGGTTTTTCTTTCGCTGACAGATGTCAAATACATGTATACACTTCAGATAAGAACAATAACTATAATCCAACTTCCGTTATATTACATCGATTATACGATATATTTATAACAGTAAATATTTCTAAATGCTCTTAAACATCAAGTGCCATCGGAAGAGGATATTCCTTTTACTTACATATATTGCTTCTTTTACGTCGTCACGTGCTATAAAATATGTAAGAAATATACATAATATATAATTGTATGTACATGTCATTCACCAGGACCGTCTCCTTAAAAGCAAGATTTTGCTTATATGAATTTTCATTAAAAAGTATTTTTAGACTTATGTTATATTCAAAAGCAAATATCTGAAATTTCATGTTTTATTTCATTCAAAACCTGTAAATTTAGTTTAACAATATCCGGATTAGTTTGTCCGACATCCGGGCATATCATTTGGATTACATACATCAGTCTGTTTACTGCTAATTTGCATATGCTGTAGTATTTACAAATACGGCTGCAACTTCAGAGCTGAAAACGAAAGATGGGGAATATTCACACTGTTGGGCCAAGTGAGGCTTTGGTAATTTCAGGTAGGCATTAAAAGACGCAAATAACTTTTATGTGTTTATCAAATGGAATACTTTATGGTAATGTCAAGAGGACGAAAGTCGGTCAGTTGGTTCTGGAGATTCTCTCAGCAGAATAGTCGCTTCCGGCTGACCCATCAATGGCTGCATTCTAGCATGTTTCTAGAAGTGACATATACTCAATAAACACTTATTAATCATTTGGTTTTATTTAGCATTGTCGTTCCTACCATCTTTTATGTTTACGTCATGATTTGATTGGTTTAAAAGTGCGTTTGCTGCAAATTCCCTGATGGGACGCAGCGAGGGTGTGTCAACATTGGTATGCCGAATTCTTCATCTGTAGCTAATATTGTTATACGTCTCATGTTACACAGTTTAATGGGTCAAGTTTCATTGTTGACTTTTTATAAATTCTAAATTATTTGATGTTACAACAGTGAAAAAGATCGTTGTTAATAATGTGCAGAACCATTATTATTTCCAAGTCACGGGTTAGCAGTTGCGTAATTGTGCAGTAGCATTTCAAAATAGGCCTGTTGAAATCGTTTTTACATGGACTTTCGTCGTTGATTATGTCTATTTTATATTAAAAAATGAATGCTTAATTTTATTTCATAAAACATTATTTAGTATTAATGGTAAATTTGTGCATTTTTTTCTTTCTTAACGAAGCATAGACTTGTGGAGATTTGTTTTGTTAATTTATTTGTGCATGATGAAGACAACAGCATTTTTTAAAGATGATTGTGTGTTTGCTTTTCACATCTTAAAAAGTATTTTTTTAAGTTATAATCTATTTATACATCCACTGTTAGCTCATATGTAAACAAATTACAATAACAAAAGTAATTGGAAATAGGAGTCCTATTTCAGTTTTCTTACTTTTCAAAGAAAGTTTTTAGTTTGTGAAAAAAATTGAAGCTTCTGTTAGTAGATGTTAACTTTGAATTTTGGACATCTCCAGAAAAAACCCTAAATGGAATGTATTAATACATTCATATTGTAAGAAATGACATGCAAAAATAAAATATTTCAAAGATGGTTACTTTCATTTTGGAAGGGACCCATTATTACTGCTAATAAGTATCCAGAAAAAGGGCCTCAAATGGTTAGAAAACAAACATTTGTATTATATTTGATTCGGTTATTGTTCATTGTGTTTTCATTTTTGAAAGATGAAATAACATTTGTTTTAACCTTCCCTGTCTACAGGAGGCTGCTGTGGGGGCACAGGCCGTAAGATGATCGTTGGTGGCTGGGGTTGGGCCTGGTGCCTTGTCACAGATGTGCAAACGTGAGTATATAATATGGACAGTAAAAACTCACATTGTAGCTCTTCTATGATTAGTTCTCCAGAAACAATGCCTAAAATTTACATATCATATAGACAGTAAACATTTCAGTATCAACATTGATATTTTAATTCAGGTTTGGTGTGATATTAGAGAAGGGGATAGCCCATTCTGTCATTCGCCTTGGATTAGGTAGAATAACAGGTGGTTTTTAACAGTAAGATATCTGGCAGCAGGTCCACCTGCAAACCAGAAAAAAACCTACATCTGCTGCAATTTGAGAAGCAATGCCAATAAATTTCATTTCATTGCCTTGTAATGAGCCAACCTCAATATTTGAGTTATATATAGTTTTCTGGCTCATTGGATTAATAATAGTAGTATAAATAAAAGATATTGAAAAATGGATTATTTTTGTCTTAGGATCTCTCTGGAGGTAATGACCTTGAACCCAGTATGTGAGAGCGTGGAGACATCTGAGGGTGTACCAGTGACAGTAACAGGTGTGGCCCAATGTAAGATCATGCGGGAACCAGAGATTCTCAAAACAGCCTGTGAGCAGTTTCTTGGCAAATCTGTCCATCACATTGAGCACGTTATCCTGCAAACTCTGGAAGGCCATCTCCGTGCTATCTTGGGTATGTTGTTATTGTATTGGTTGGAAAATTGCAAATACCTTTTCTTTCCTGAACATTCAGTAGTGTTCTCTCAGTCATAACTTGTTCTTTTTACCTTGGGCTTTGTTGTGAAAGAACAAGTTGTGTTAAGCCACCAGTTGCTTTTATACAGGCAAGGTGAATTGAACTATTTGTAATTTCCTAACTCTCAGGATGTTTATAGAATAGAAATTCTACAAAATCAGTAGAAGATGATGTTTGTATTTCTCTGTGATTTTCCTGGGTAGTAAAATCTTTCCAAGGGATGAAACATATATCTTATGTCTAACCTGAATTTCAAGATATTTTCACAACCAAATACACACAGTTTTGCACATTTTGACAAGTATTTTCCTTCACAAAAGCAAGACACATGGTTGTCTAATCATGCAAAATGATGTCAAAATTGTTAACTATGTTATTGTTTCTGATGCACAAATTTTATTATTGTCATTAAGCGACTCTGTTTTCCAGGTACACTGAGTGTAGAAGCTATCTACCAGGATCGAGACCAGTTTGCTCAGCTGGTGCGAGAAGTAGCCTCCCCTGATGTTGGAAAGATGGGTATTGAAATTCTGAGTTTCACCATCAAAGACATATTTGATAATGTGCAGTACTTGCAATCTCTGGGAAGGGCACAGACTGCCAATGTTAAACGTGATGCTGATATTGGTGTTGCAGAAGCCAACAGAGATGCTGGAATAAGGGTATATATTGTTTTTTGTTCCATTAATGAACACAATTATGTATAGTGAGTTGCTTGATTCAATGAAGCCCTCATCGATTCAATCAAACTAATAGATGTGTAATGAAAATATGATGCTGTTTATGAAACCAGTCTTCATTAAATCACATAAAGTCACTTTATTAATATAACACAACCTCAAAATCAAAATGCAAAGAATAAAAACACTTCTGTAGCTATTATTGGTTAAAGGAAAATTTTACCGCATTTTCACATCATCATTATGAATATTCTGGAATATCTCATTTGTGTAATGGTTTTACATTGCAATGAATTCCTTGACAGGAAGCTGAATGTGACAACAAGAGAATGGATGCTAAGTTCACAGCTGATGCAAAAATAGCTGATGCCTCCAGAGAGTTCCAGATGCAGAAGGCCTCTTTTGACATGGAAGTCAATGCAAAGGTGAAATTTTATCACAATATCCACTTGGATATTTTACACACAAAACTTTTGAATAAAAAGTCATGTTTTCCTAAAATTGTTTGATTTGGATTTCCTCAGGTCTTCGGTTTTGGTGTTTTGTTGTGGTTTTTGCTTTTAGACAACTTCTAGTTCTGCTACCACTAAAATTGCAAATGAATCTCTGACACCATTCCATATTTGTCTGACAGTAAGCCCATGCCTGATTATAAGCTCACACATATGTTGCTATTCCATTGATTGTAACTGCTTTTATGATCCACAGTTACATATCCCACCTGTAGTCGTCAAGTTAGAATTTCCATAATGGCCCTGTGGGCCTTTTGTAGGACAAATAAAGTAATATCATTACACACCACAAGGCTCTTGATGTGTCAATTTGTCACGTGATTTATTTCTGTGCTTCTGCTAGAACTTGGGACCTCTGGCTTATTAAAGAAAATTTCTCCATAGCCGAGTAGTATACTGCAACTAGTACTATACCAGGGTTACATACTCCCCCTCCAAGAAATAACTTGTCCTCATGTTTCCAGGGGTTACAGTAATGTTTGAAAGTAACACTCAGTATTAGTTCACGAGTCCCTACGTGGGCGCCAATGTAATAGAGGTCATTATTATATTTTAATGCCTCTGCTAGGATTTAAATGATGCACCTCTGGCTTACAAGTCTGACTCTCAGCCAATCAAGCCAAAGAGGTATATTGCGGCTGGTATATCACCAGGGTTACATAGCACCTTGATCTTGTACAGATTTCTTGTTTTGTTATATAATAAGCATGGTATGGAAGAAGCTTAGATGGTACAAAAAGTAATGTATAAAACAAACATATAAAGCAAATACATAGCAAAATGTCATAAGTTAGAAATCATAGAATTATTTATTAGAATTTGTTTATTTCCTGTTTAGAAAGCAGAAGCTGAACTGGCATATGAGCTTCAAGGAGCCAAGGAAAGACAAAGAATCAGAGCTGAGGAAATTGAGATTGATGTTGTGGAGCGAAAAAAACAGATTGATGTTGAGGAGAAAGAAATCATGAGAAAAGAAAAAGAACTGATGGCTACCGTGAAACGACCAACAGAGGCAGCTGCTTTCAAAACCGAACAAATTGCAGAGGGAAAAAGGTTGGTATAATGAAAACACGGCAATTGCTGGTATTAAAAAAAATGTATTGATTCTATCTTTGGTTTAAAGTTTTTTTTATACCATATTCACAATGTCTGGATACATTTAATGTGAAAGGGTCGATTTCCCGTGTCTAGATGCTTTGTATCACATTTTGACAGTTATGAATAAAGTAAAAGAGAATTGTACTTGGTGTTGAACTGTGAGGATTTGGTAAGCAATCAAATTATGTAATTTGATCAGAGTGTGTGTACAAAATCATGACAAAAAGAGAGGATTGAAACACTTCAATCAGTATTTGGGGTAAAACAATCCAACATTTGTTTGGTTTTGAGAATTTATAAGAACACCTGAATGTTGACATTATTTTGCAAATATGATTTTAGAAATTGAATGAGTTCGTTTTACTGAGTTTTGATGCAGAGGTAAAGTTATGTTAAGATTATTGACCCACAATTAGGATATCTATGTCAATTAATTGGGAAATTATTTGGTTATTTCTGGGTAAATTCAGCCACATTTTCCCATAAGGACCTGTGCCTTTCATCTGTTTCGGCAGAAAAAGGCAAATCAGTCATTATTATGATAATTTAAAGATGCTAAAATTGCTTTGTTATTCAGTGTACAAGTTTAAAACAATGAAATATGACAACACATTTGTATTTGGCTTGTTTAGTCATAAATCATGATTGAATTTACAGATGGATTTCAGTGAAACAGTCAATCTCAATATTTTTTTTTGCATTAATCGCAAAGTAATTTCATGATGGTTTAAGTTTGAAAGATAAAATGATCAGTAAGTTTATGTTATTAAAGTGTTTTGGTGCACTGTGGGTTTTATTTAGGACACAAACTGTGGAGGCTGCCCGTGCTGATGCAGAGAGGATCAGGCTGATCGGTGGTGCTGAAGCTGCAGCCATCGAGGCAGTCGGTAAGGCCGAGGCTGAGAAAATGAGATTAAAGGCCTCAGCTTACAAACAGTACGGAGATGCTGCTATGCTTAGTATGGTGTTGGAAACACTACCCAAGGTAAACTATTTTATAATTCATTGATCCTGTTCCCATGGCACAGTTTTATCATTTTACTAAAAGTACACTGTATAGGTTTTTCCCAAATATTATCTTTTTATCGAAAATTGGAAAACATTTTTTTAAAAAATGTATCGAGTTAAAAGATAAGTCTTTAAACCAGAAGATCTTGATTTTAAACGTGGTGAATAATGATAAATAAGATGGTTTACCCTATTTTTGGCAATAGCTTCAACTGTAAAGACTTTATAACTGAATTTCCTTTCCTCAAATACTGTGGTTGCTTTCAGTGGTAGTTTCAGTCCTTTTGATAAACATGTCAGTATTGAGCAATGAGAAGAAATATAAATATGTAATATAACTTTGTTTTAATAGATTGCTGCTGAAGTTTCTGCACCACTATCCAAAACAGAAGAAATTGTAATGATTGGAGATGACCGCACCACCAGTGAAGTTAGTCGACTTGTCAGTCAGCTGCCACCAGCTGTGCAGGCCTTAACAGGGGTAGATCTGTCAAAGGTACGACTTCACTGTCAGTTTCCTATACATCATCACATTATATTTGTGAAACAAGTAGATATTGTTCATGTTTACATTAGGTTAGGGATAGTTCTATATTTCATTAAGGTAAGTCTTTAATAGTTCAGTTATTTATAACACAAATTTGTGAAAATTGTCTTTGCAATATTGACTGTATCCGTAGATATTTTGATAATAATTAAATGAAAACAATTTGTTGTTTTATTTACAGGTCCTTGCAAAAGTGCCTGGCGCCAGCTCCTAAGCAGCATCATAAGTTTGTAGCAGAAAGATTTCAATGCCACACCTCTAATATTTCAAAACCCCTGCAGACTACAATAGACTAATCCATTTCATTCTAGAGGAAGTGATACAATGGTTTTACAGGAGTGAAACAGTTTTGTCAACATGAACTCTAATACTGACATAAATTGGCAAGATAATGCAGATTGGTTAGCCTATTGTGTTGTGCAAGAGAGTTTACCAGAAGACCTTTTCTAAAGTGTTTTCAGCAGTGTGTAGATGTCCTATTATTTGCATGCACGTTGTACATAATATTGTAACTATAGTTGGACTTATTGGTTTTCTAGTAGTTACAGCAATATCATACCTCCACCCTAAATTACGGGTTTGGATTCTCCTATTCAACTGTATAGAGAGGTCCATGTAAACCAAGGGTGGACAATTTTAATTTTACTCAGATTTAGAACCATAAATCAGAATCAGAGTAATGATTGAAACCTGAACAACATATTAAAAATCTTTACAAATATATTTGAAGATATTATGAAAATGTTTCTTGAAAAATTTTAATATCTTCTATAATTGATCCAGGTTTACCAAAAATGGATATTACAGATAAATACATAAAAAAAAATATACATGGAGCTCGTAAATTCTGTTCGTCTTGATAGATTGATTAATCAGTGGTGTTAATAAACCAAAGATAGTGCTTACCACCAACAATTTTAATGTAGATCTCATTTCCATATTAAATACTTTTACTTACATTAATGTTAAAGTAAGATAATGATTAATCAAAATTTGAAGTATTTTTATCTTTCAGTAGTTTTCTTCTTTGGATATTGATAAAGTTCTGATGAAATAGTTGAAATAAAAAGTAAAGACTAGTTTCACTTTGATTCTTAAGGAAGATTGTTAAAATGACAACTGGGACAACTGAAACGCTAACTTACATTTTTACTTTATTATCACACACACAAAAGTATTTCCTTTCAAAGTTTTTTACAAGAGACATTCTAAGTGAAATCAATTCTTGCGTGCAGGAGATAAAGTTTTGCTGTGCACAAAAATTGAATTGGGAAATGCGAACACTATTAGTAAGATAATATCTTGTTGGCAGAATCATATATAGCAATGGAAAGAGACAGGTCGTAAAATAATACTCGTCAATGTTATGGGTTAAAATATTTTCAAAGTATTGTGGTGTTCCTTATTTTCATTACAAATTACATTTTGCTTTATGCCTGTATGTAGTATACTAGTCAAATGACTAATGTAATTATTCATCATGTGTTAATGCATAATTATCTCGAAAATCTTAATGTTAATCTTAGTTTGAAACCTTCTTAAGAAATCGGCCATTTCACAATGTAAGGCATGATTGAGGAGTTCAGCTGAATCTAAATGTGTTTTTTTTTTTTTTTCCCAAGGTTATTCAAGATTCAAACAAAATGACAATGTTTTTCATTTTGTGCTTTAGAAATAAAACCTCATCAGACTGACTCATCCTTGATACACATATCCTAAAACCTTTATAAGTACTGTTTAGTTTTGGAAGGTTATTGAAGGTCCATGACTCCTGTGATTAGTGATTGTTAATATTTGATTAACTCTTGGTTATTTCAATGACATTCTTTCTGCAGAATCACAGGAATTATTTATTTTCTCTGCATAGTTTACTTAAGTATGTCCAGAAGGAAGTCTTTTTTATTGTGACCGCAAATCTTTTTCCAATTTTCCAAACTGTTATATGTTACCACACGAAAGATAATTCTCTTATCATACATGAAATACATATAGCATACTTTGAATCACTAACATAGATTGAAGTTGTTTATGATTATATGAATAATTGGCTACTTTTTGCCTAAACGTGTCTTGTTGAATACCAGGAAAAGTTATGCTGTGTTTTAGTACACAGTATGTTTAATCCAGCCAGACACCAAATCTTATCAGGAATTGTGTTATAATTCAAATTTTATCTGTTTTTAAACATTTTTGTGGGAAATTTCCCTTGATACTCATTATTGTAATATATGTATCTGTTCTAAATCTCCTGGTTCTGACCCTAAACGTAAATATTATCTTTCGTATTGTGTGGTATTCATATTCATATCTTAACGGTAGTAAACTTAATTAAGGAGATTTTGTACATTTTTACTGCTTTCTCCAAGTGACTTCTTGTGTGTATATAATATAACAGATTTGTAACAGCAGCTAAACATGCCACAATATCATTGTTGTAATGGAAGCATGACTACTTTTAATATTTTACTTTTATCAATATTGTCCAACTTTATACTTAAAATGTAATATTTCATGGTAAGACTAGTGATTTTAAACATTTTATCGTATGAGTGCACAATAAAATGAAATAAAAATTTACCATATTTTTACAACTGGAGAAAAGAGTTTGAATCACATTGGAGAAATAAAAGAATCACTTTTTCATTGATATTTATAAAAAATGAAATTTATTTAGAAAAGAAAAATCAGGAAAGTCTTGGTTAATGAATATTATGTGCAAGTAAAAGTCTCTTATGAAAATTACATTAGAATACTTTGTTTGTTGTGGAATATATTGGATCTCTACTTTTTATGGTTGTGCCTTGTGAATTTTGTAAGAAAAATAATTTGGATTATATTGCTAGCAAACAAGACTGTCATCTTGTCCATATTATGGTTGGGTCCACTTTCATCATATTCTGAAGGAAAAGGCTAACAATTCCTTTAAATATTGGCATCTTTCCTTGCTGAAACGATACTTTCTGGTAGATTTTTGTGGCATTTTATGATATGTTATAGACTATGGCATGAAGAATAACTAATGGCCTTTTTTAGTCTGTGTTACTTTTCAGCCCCCAAAATAGGATTTTTTCTTATGATTTGTGAAAATAGGCATTAAAAATATCTTCCGATGTATTTTACTTTTGAATTCCACTTTTAGACTAGTGTAGGGGTAGTAGATGTTCTTTGTCCCTTTGTTGTGATAAGTTGCACATGGACTATGATGTACCTATAAATGTGAGCTTTTATCCCTGTTTAGATACTTTTGATATCTGTCATGGACCAAGGAGCAGGGAAAATATTTAAGACCATAGCAAACTTCCTTGCATTAACAAAACTTTGTGAAAGATGTAGCAAGTTATATCCATTAAAAAGATATTACTGCCTGTCACAAATTATGAAAAATACAAACATGTATCACAATACTTAGTAAGGTTTGTTTTACCATTATCTTAAGATTTTCTTCAGAAGTTTAAGAAGTTGCTCAAGGGTAGGCCAGTTTAAAAATCAGTCTTATTTATTTTAAAGATTTGAATTTCTAATTTACAAAATGTTATTGACTGGGGTGTAGGTGAGGCATTTTATTGATAACATTGGGAAAGTTTGTTGATAATTTTCATATGTTAATATTATAGGGATGCGAAATAGTTAAGAGATGTTCAAAAAAGTTTTAAATCATGACAAAGCTATATGAAGTTAATGTCTATTCCAATAAAATATTTATTGCAGAATAAATTGATATTCAGTACAAAAGATTAGTTTTATCATACTTGTTCACAAAAGATGTTACAAATGACAAGCTAAGAAATAAAAGTGTAACGATAAATTGTTGTGGAAAAGTATAGAGCTTAGATCTACTACGTTCAATTTTCAGTCACTGGTAATCATCTCTATATTTATAGTATTAAAAATTTATCTTTAAATAAGGGTATAATTGTATTAAAGAATTTCATGTTAAAGTATTATTCTAATATGAACATTTTAATTCAAGTGTACATCATCATGAATCATTTATCTGCAATACTTTCTCCTAAAGGTGTGGGCTGTATTTAGATACAATCATTAACAGTGGTACAATCCTGTAACATACGTTTCCATGTGCATCTCCTTTGTATATTTAATGTTAATTGTATTATTGCTATAATATATATACAACTTAGTGTATCATCTCTGTTTACATGAATTTGTTTATAACAATAAAAAAACCATTAAATACAGAACAATATTGACTTGTTTTTAACAAATATTAAAAGGAATAAGAAATATACATCTGGAGAACAGTTTTGAAGGCAAACAATAGCAACTGAAATGTACTATTGAGATTCATATAAGTAATTACAATCTATTCTTCAGTTTATTAGCTTACACCTCCAACAAATGAACCTGTACATACATCAGCATCCACTGTTTGTCTTCATTAATATTTGGGGGAATAAAAATTGCTTCTACTCATCAACGACTGAGCAGATTTTGATCAAATTTATGAAAAGAGGAACTAATTATGTATACAGAAAATGGAGAAATCCATTTTAAGTCATTCTGTTGGCATATAGGTATTTTGGCTAAATTAAGTCTGAAACATCCTTGAGGGAATGAGATGCAATTTTGTATAAATGGTGGATCTTGTCTGCCAGAGTTCTACGAAACCCCAGCCTAAAAGCCAACATGTAGAAAATTCTTTGAAATTCTTCTGTAGGAATGATGGATTTTTGTCCAAATTTGGTCAGAAGCATCCTCAAGGACTCAAATTTGTATTAATGATGAGTTCGACATTCTTTGAGTCAGAGGAACGGGGCAAATATTTGAAATAGGACTAACTATTGTCAACAAGATATTACCTGACTATATAAACAATTATAAGAAATGGAAACTATAAGTACAACATCTACAATAACTACAACCTTGCTCAACTGAATGATATTGCACAGATAAACCTGGAAATTATCCTGGTAAATGTCAATGTCCACCATTTACACTTGTAGTGTTCAACTATTATTATAGTTCCTCAGTAGTATCTGAAGTGTCCACAAGTACTTGTTTAGTTCCTCAGTAGTATCAGAAGTGTTCCACCACAAGTACTTGTGTAGTTCCTCAGTAGTATCTGAAGTGTCCACAAGTACTTGTTTAGTTCCTCAGTAGTATCTGAAGTGTTCCACCACAAGTACTTGTGTAGTTCCTCAGTAGTATCTGAAGTGTTCCACCACAAGTACTTGTGTAGTTCCTCAGTAGTATCTGAAGTGTTCCACCACAAGTACTTGTGTAGTTCCTCAGTAGTATCTGAAGTGTTCCACCACAAGTACTTGTGTAGTTCCTCAGTAGTATCTGAAGTGTTCCACCACAAGTACTTGTGTAGTTCCTCAGTAGTATCTGAAGTGTCCACAAGTACTTGTTTAGTTCCTCAGTAGTATCTGAAGTGTTCCACCACAAGTACTTGTGTAGTTCCTCAGTAGTATCTGAAGTGTTCCACCACAAGTACTTGTGTAGTTCCTCAGTAGTATCTGAAGTGTTCCACCACAAGTACTTGTGTAGTTCCTCAGTAGTATCTGAAGTGTTCCACCACAAGTACTTGTGTAGTTCCTCAGTAGTATCTGAAGTGTTCCACCACAAGTACTTGTGTAGTTCCTCAGTAGTATCTGAAGTGTTCCACCACAAGTACTTGTTTAGTTCCTCAGTAGTATCTGAAGTGTTCCACCACCAGTACTTGTGTAGTTCCTCAGTAGTATCTGAAGTGTTCCACCACAAGTACTTGTGTAGTTCCTTAGTAGTATCTGAAGTGTTCCACAAGTACTTGTGTAGTTCCTCAGTAGTATCTGAAGTGTTCCACCATATGTAATTATATCATTCTACAGTAGTACCTGTAGCGTTCAATCATTAGTATTTGTATATATTTTCACCAGTAGTATTTATATACTTCCACAATTAGTACTTGTATAGGCACTTGTGTTGGAACTAAACAAATACAAACGTTGCAACTACACAAGTACTTATGGTGAAACACTACAGGTACTAATGGCGGAACTATACAAGTACTTATGGCGGAACACTACAGGTACTAATGGCGGAACTATACAAGTACTTATGGTGAAACACTACAGGTACTAATGGCGGAACTATACAAGTACTTATGGCGGAACACTACAGGTACTAATGGCGGAACTATACAAGTACTTATGGCGGAACACTACAGGTACTAATGGCGGAACTATACAAGTACTTATGGCGGAACACTACAGGTACCAATGGCGGAACTATACAAGTACTTATGGCGAAACATTACAGGTAATAATAGCGGAACCATACAAGTACTTATGATGGAACACTTCAGATACTACTGGTGGAAATCTACAAGTACCTTTACCTAATACCCACCCCCTCACCCACTCATCTGTCTCAGAATTGTGATGTGGGACGGGACCCAGTTGAGGAAATTTTCGAAATTCTGAAAGATTCCTTTTTTGTCTGTTTGACTAACAGAACTCATTAACACTTAGTGTGAAGCATCTTATGATATAGGAAATTCAGTTTTGCGTAAGTGGTAGGCCCGACTCTCCTGAGTGTTTAGAAACGTGGCCATTCACGGTAGATACGTGTAAATTTTGAATACTTTGACCAAATGCTGCTCAATTTTATGTAAATCTATCATTGCAATTTTTTTTAATTCATCCTTTTATTTTCAAGCTGAAATGATAAAAATTATATAGAAATAAGAAAAAAGTCTTCATTTTGGAATTAAAATAATTTTATTACAATCTGCAAATAGAATATAATGAATGTGCAAGTGACTGAGTATCTAGTATGTCTGCTCACAAAAAAAATTAATATATAATAAACAACAGATCAGATACTGGTTAGCAACATGGAAGCCCAGAAATATCTGTCTTGTTGCAAGTCCCCGATAGATGTTTTCCGACACACGACACAATACTACAGTATTTTTCTTTTTCATTGTATTACTGTCCTGGGGGAGATAAACTTATCTCCAAGAATTTTCTTTTCACAAAGCATGTCCACCACTGAAAAAGGAAAAGAATTTAAAATTAATGATAAACCATGTCCGTCAAAATCACAACTTCGCCTTTTTTTAATTTTCACAATATACTTTGTAATCTGAATTATATTGTAAAGTATATAAAGAAATATCGTTCAACGCCAAAGTAAGGTGGCTTTAATTATCATCTTTCAGTAACTCCCGAAAATAATTGTTTTGTTTTATGCTTTAGATTCTGACATGATTGCATCGGCTGTCCTGCTATAAGCAAATCTCATACTTAAAAAGGGATGTTCCTATGGCAATTAAAACGTCTTGATGGCTGTAATTAATACTGGAGGTCGCCAACGGTTTCCAATTAATTTAATTATACTAGATACAGACAGGGAAAAATCGCGTTCAGTTCAGTTTGGAAGACCATCACCGTCATTATCTAAATATAGAACATATGATTAAATACCGACTAATTGAACATGGTATAGTAATTACACCCAAGTCATACTTTTGTGTATTACGCGTATAACTTATTGTGATGTCACTTCAGATAATTAAGCAATGCCACAATCACAGATTCATCATGCCGTAACAGTAGATAGCATAGAGCAGATATATATAAATTGAAACACTTTAGATATTGGGAGATATTTTCAATTTATTACCCACGAAGTGGGAACACTCTTATTACTATGGGAACATCTGTTGGAATATTAGCATGCCCCGGTCTTTTGAATTACATTAAAATTGCCAAGAAGAAAAATATATGTCCCCACGAAGTTTTAACTATCTCAATGGTGTCCGCAAAGTCCTATTTTCGTCTTCTCTCTTCTTCGTAACTATATGATACATTATGTTGATGTCCTCGCACCTACAGAGATAAATATGTGCCTACAAAGAGAGAGAGTTGATTTACCTTGCTTGGTTTGTCAGAATCTTCAAATACTTTTTCACACATACGAACTGCTGTTTCCTGTCGGATCTGTTGGAGATATGCCCGCATGGTCTCTGTCAAATATCAGAATATATTTCATTTAAGGCATTTATAGATATTATATATCTGTATTTTTACGTGCAAATTGCGTGAATTCAAATCCGAATAACCCTCGAAAAACGTATTTATATATTTGCTTTCACACAATACCTTAAGCAATATCGTTGTAACAGGTTTTTTTCTAGAGTTAGAAAACAAATCTAATTTCAAGATTGTTTATAAATTAGATGATTTCTCGATAATTTCTGTCGTTACGTAGGCAAACATTGCATGGAGTCTCTATCGTAAAGGGTTGGTATGTGAAAGGCATTCGCAATTCCTGCGAGCACCAAGGGTTTAAATTTATACCTATCTGCCTTGGTAAGCAAAGATGGCAGTAAACAATTCAATATATTCTCTCGTTTTAGTAGTTAACAGCAGTTTGAACCAGAAAATGTCTACTACCTCATAAAGGTCTTAATTCAAAGATTGTATCTATAAATTTTAAGCGACGTTGAAAACATTCAGTTTTTTAAAGTCTGCTTGGACCAAATGATCAACATGTTGTAATCTTTATCAATCTGAAATGTACCTTCCTCGCTGCGAGATGGTTTGGCATACAACGCATTTAAAGGAAAACCGGATTCTCCAGGAATGGGATACTTCTTCAGTCCCAGGGTGTGCATCTCTCGCTGTCCCTGCTTCTTCGACGTACACTATGAATAGTAGCATGGAATATCAATATTCTGGTAAGGATATTATCTCTAGTTTGCTTTGCAAGGTAAATTAGATATTGATTATCTGTAAAATCTGTTATAAACATATTAATAAATAAACGGACGAAATACCCGGGCAATTACATGCATTCAGTCACAGGTGCTTCACACAGGAAGGTAAAAATATCAACCTGTGACAATACAACGTATTCTCCAAGACAGCACCGTGATGAATAGCTTGGTTCAGGCTATCAATCAGGTTTAGTATATAATACTTTTTAAAACAAATATGTTACTAAATAAGACCCCCCCCCCCCCCCCCTTCTCATTTCTCTCTCTCTCTCTCTCTCCCCCCCCCCCCCCCCCCCCTCTCTCTCTCTCTCTCTCTCTCTCTCTCTCTCTCTCTCTCATTTTTTGTCTATTTCTATTTCTAGATATTGAAGCTGACAGTAAATGATTTGGAACACCACCCATCTATGTGTATATCACACTTCGGCTTCCTACACCTACACAGACTCTAGTTAACCCCAAAGACCATCACCACATCTTTAGTTCACTAAGTAAGTGTAAACTGGATGTTGATTACATCCTCTTTGTCTATAAATAAAATATTCACGTCATATTATCAAAATGTAATCGTTGCCTAATTTGTAAATTCATATTATAAACAAAACGACGGTCAATTTAAAATGTCGACCGTCACCTTATAGCAAAACAGAATGAAACAATTAAAAAAAATAAATACGTACATTTAAAAAAGACTTAAACATCAGGTGAAATAGAATTAAGTGATTGAAATAATATCTTTATTTTAATGTTAAGTATAATCAGTAATGATGACAGTAGAAGAACGGGTTTAATCAACAAACATGGATGATTTATAAAATATACTTACCTTTTGTAATTTTTTGATACACTCGGATATAAACAAAGTGATATAAATCAGAGTCCGATCCGCTTCGCTCTACAATAAAAGTTTCTTTTATAAAAAATAAACCGCAATGGATATTTTGTTATCATTTCAATCGTATAGTAATTTTAAAAAATCCTTTTAATTATTTTCCTATTCGAAAGTATTGCGTATGAATTTAAATTGAAGGCCATTGTAAAAAGTTTCAGTTCTGACGTTGTATAAATTGCCATACTTGACTTTCTATATCAAATAGTTGTAATTATGGAGAAACCGTATGACGTTTCTGGTTTATGTTAGTTGTAACTGGTGATTGCTTCACAGCATAAGTACTTTTTTTATTTTCAGCTCCAAAAGTATTTCAAAAACACAGAACAAAACGTGAATTTTGCTTTAATGTTTTTATCTTATTTATGACTAAACATTCCTCACCTTTATTTCGTAGTTTCTAAAGAATATGTTTGCTTTAAAATAATGAATTCCTTCGTCCACTATATCAAAATCACTTGCTGAAAATGAGAAAAATGTTCAGAGTAAAATGTAAAATTATATATCTCTAATCCTGATATTTGCCAGTAAATCAATAAATCTCCCCGATTTGGAACAACACGTTAAAAACATGTTTCAAGGCGGTCTGAAAAAATTATTAAATGAATGAAAAGCGTTATCTTAGGAAATGTTTTCGTGAAATTGATATATATATATATATATATGTAGTATCAAGTTAAGATATGTAGGCAGGGATAGAGGAAGGGAGGAAGGGACGATAGGGTAGGTCGGTCGATAGGTAGGGGTAGGTAGGGAGGGAGGGAGGCTGAGACGATAAGGTAGGTAGTAGGTAGGTAAATAGGTAGGTAGGAAGTAAGGTAGGAAGGTAATAGGTAGGTAGGTAGGTAGGTAGGGGTACGGAGGTAGGTAGGTTGGTAGGTTGGTAGGTAGGGATAGGGAGGTAGGTAGGTTGGTAGGTAGGGGTAGGGGTAGGGAGGTAGGTAGATAAGTAGGTAGGTAGGGAGGTAGGTTAAGAGATAGGCAGGTAAGTAGGTAGATAGGTAGGAAGGAAGGGAAGGGAGATAGGTAGGTAAATAGGTAGGTAGGTAGATAAGTAGGTAGGTAGGTAGTAGGTAGGTAAATAGGTAGGTTGGTAGGTAGGTAGGTAGTAGGTAGGTAGGTAGGTAGGTTGGTAGGTAGATCAACACTTACAATCTTGTGGAGCAGGTCCCTTGAAGCTCGTCCTCAGAGGACATAGCGCCACGTTCCCTACTATCTTTGGCGGATTGAGAAACTGAGAATGGTGAGGCTGAAAAGAATTGCAAAATCTTATATGACACTGTGTTATGTAACAGTATTCTTATTACGGCACATATTTCGATATAAAATACTCAGAAAATAAGTCAAACATCAGCTTAAAAGCTACATAAAAATAACACATTATTAAAATCTCAATTTAGTCTCGAAATCAATTAAAGGGGGCAACCCCCCCCCCCCCCCCCCCCCCAAAAAAAAAAAAAAAACAAACAGATTTTCAAGAATTTTAAGTATTAAACTAGAGCATCTTGCCTAGTAATGCACACTCATCACTGATTCATACATATACATACATACATACATACATACATATACATACATACATACATACATATATACATACATACATATATGTATTTATATATATGTATGAATCAGAGATGAGTGTGCATTATTACTGGACAAGTTCACGCACATCAGAATAGCCAATTTATTTTCACATCCTTTACTTTGTCACTCCGTGTTACTATACCATTTGATTTCTTAAAAACACAACATTTCATTATTCTGATATCTTCGGATAAATCTAACATTATCGATGAAGTCGTCCACTCACGGACAAACTTGTAACACAGGATTTCAAAAGATGCAAGTTGTTGAAATAATGGATAATTTTACGGTCGTTAAAGTGATTTCATTTAGAAATACTGGGCGTGTTTGATACTCGTTAGTATGCCTGTCGGTTCCGTTGTGGTGCACCTTGTTCTCGTTCGATAATATGTCATTGCTAACTTGGGTTAACCAAACTTTACATCGCGGGTGTCGTCGATGAACCAGAAGACACTTACTCTTCTGGAACACCTGGTCTTATCCTCTTTGTACTATTACAGAAGTCTCAGTGTAAATTTTTATTTTGTTTATACTATGCCCTAGTTTTATTGAGTTTGAGCTTGGATCATGATTGCGTTGACATGTTGGCATTTTCTTGTTGTTTTTAAAATGTTTAAACCCGTGCAATATTGTTTACCTTTAAAAGAATTGTGTGATGTTTATAAACATGACCTTGAGTTGCTTGACGTAGTTTTGTTATATATTATGAACCATTCATATTACTTTTTTCCAGAAACACGTATAACGTGATTCGAGTGATATATGCTGTTTGCAAATTCATGGATATAAAAACAAAATGATATGGAGTATAATTGATGTGTAAGTTGTTATATTGTAAAGGTTTTATTTTCCCTATTATCGAAAAAAATGAGTACGGTAAATTGTTAGTGGGGGATGAAGGTTCTCTTATATGTAAATATGTTTATGAACTGATTAATAGATAGAAATAAATGGATTATGGTACCGGCGGATTTTATGTACAAGATTTAACCACAAAATGACGTGCAAATGAAACCGTTTTTTTTTTTTTTTTTTTTGGAAAACCACAAAATTTGAGTTCCACGAAAATTTTTGATTTCACAGCAATTTGAAATTTAAGTTTGAGAGAAAACCGTATGGTTGTCTCATTACTTCCATGAAAAGGTCTTGACAAAGCGCGATTGGGGTTAGAGTTGACTTATCTAGTATTATTCAATGCAATTAGAACGATATCAAAAACAGCCAATGGATACTACATATACAACCGGATGTTATAATTCCGATACACTGACAGGGATGGGGATAGAGGGGTGTTTACTTCGTTAAAAAGGCAGAAAAGATCGAACGTCATATTTTGTAGAAAAAAATCTGCTAGGATATAGTAATAAATTGGAGATGGGATAGCAGCCGTGTAAGTCATTCTTATAACACAACTTCAAAATATCTGCCATTCAAAAGTAAACATCTATTGAAAGTTACATGTATATCTATTCCATCGATAGGCGATGTAATATAGATACAGGAGAAAGTTAAAAACTAACAGAAAATGTATCTGACGATCCATATATTAATATATATATATATAATACTTTGGATATAAAGGGAAAAATAATAAGTATGTAAATTATTACCGGCATTGTTGTACTGTCCTGATGTGATCCGCCCCCTCGACTTTTGACCTTTAGCTGCTTAGTGTCGGTATAAACATCCGTTACGAGCTGATAGTGTTTATACGTCACAGGATATGGTGATAATAGCGCACGCTGCCTGGTACAGATGTTACTCCTACACTAGAGACACGTATTCACAGTACACTTTAGTATCACTATATAGTTATATTGTATCTGTACAGGACGAATTCACTTCATTATAAATTGTCACATTTGTTTTGAACTAAATTATATTATATTGTGCGTGGTGTGAAGTTGTGTATAGAAAATAAAGTGTGAAAACAACACTTTGTGCCTGGTGGAGCAGATCCATCACAGGACACGACATGTTTCCTACTAACTTTGTATTTGACTTGTTATTCAAGCATAATCAACTTCATATGATGAGTCTTAATTTAATCTTTTTTTTTTTTAAAGAAAAGAAACCCTTTGCCCTGAAGCCATTCTGGGCGTACAGCTCCTTTGCCGCTTTTGTTTTGCAAGAGATAAACAAATTTCTACCATCACTCCTAAACCTCATCAAATCCCAATATTTTTGGAGGAAACAGCAAGGTATCATCACATAGTTTATCTCATTTTAAGAAAACAAAGAAAGTGCAACGTTATCGGTAAATCCTTAATTCAAACTCAAAATTGATGAAGTGAATTAAACAAAGGAAGCATTGAAAAAACTACCGACATGTCAACATATTCATAATCCAAACTCAAATTCAATAAGACTTGGTCAAATCATAAACAAAAGAATGATTTACATGGAGACTCCAGAAAAAGTACAAGGAGAATAAGACCAGGTGTTACGAAGAATAAGCGTCTTCTGCTTCATCGACGACGCCTGCCATGTTAACCTTGGTCAATCGAGAAAGTAATGTCATATTCTCATACGAGATCAAGGTATACAATAATGTAACAGGCAAACTATTGAACATCAAGTATTTACAGCTTCTTACCGAACGAAGAAAAAAATTGTTTTTTTCATCGAGATCACTATGACAGCTGTAAAACATCCTCATGACGAGGATCTCTGGAATAAGTACAAGCAGAATAGGATCGATGGATCCGGAAAGGTAAGTGGCGTTCCTTGACATTTGTCATTTAATTTGGTCAAGCCAGGTAAGTAATGTCACATTCCGAGAAGAGAAGATAAACAGCGACAGAACCACCAGGCATGATTGCACTTGTTACCTTGGAGCCTTGCATTCATAGATTAAATATTCTTTGTCAATGCATCATATGTATAAACAAATTGTACAATAGGGAAGTGTGATGGCAGATTAATAAGTTGTGAGCCTTGTATTGAAGAAGTTAGGTGGGGATGTCGTTTTTCAGATCTACTATTCCCTGACTATCTAAGGCTGTGTATTCGAAGACTGGTGTCATTTGGTCAGTTTATGTCAAAGAAGTAGGACTCTAAATTAAACGTGGCAAGAGAATTTTGCAGAATGGACAATATTTCTGAAAAAGTAGTGATTCAATATTTACGTAAGAAAGGTCTAGCACCAAAGGATATCCATACTGATATGGTAGCAACACTAGGGAATGATGCTCCTTCATATGCCACAGTGAAAAAAGGTGAGTGGTGGAATTTAAGCATTGCAAGAACAGCCTTGGAAATGACGCCCATCCTGGAAGGCCTGTCACTGTTGTAACCTTAGAAATGGTCAGAGAAGTCCATGATATTGTTATGACTGACGGGCGAGTTACAGAGTGGTATGCAGCCAATACAGTTGGGATTTCGCAGGAAAGAATACATTCCATTCTTACGGAAGATCTTGTATTGAGAGGTCTCAGCTAGTTGGATACTAAGTGTTTTGCTCAGAGGTACACCAGGTGGACTTTGTTGCATGCTAATCTGAACCTTTCAGAGGCAGATTCTGCTAAATTTCTGCAGAGATTTGTGATTGGATGAAATGTGGGTCCATCATTTTACCCCAGAGACCAAACAACAGTTCACAATGAAAGCACCCTGGTTCATCCCCGCCAAAAAAGGCAAAGACTGTTCCATCAGGTTTTCTGGGACTCCAAGTTTTAGCAGACATCAAGACCAGTGTTTAAGTACGAACTACATGTCAACACAACAAAGGATTCTATTTACCAAAACTATAAACACTGAACAGTATAAGAACCTTTCTGTTGTGACATACAATGATTAGAAAAATCTGTAAACTGAAAGTGCTGTGGCAATCAAAGCATCCTCCAAACCGCACGGTTCACTCACTCTCATTTGAGAATTTCTAGAATCGTAACCATCAATACCAGGGTGATATGGATGACTGCATTCAAAAAGAAACTAAGAATATAAGCAATGTTAGTAGAAGCTGCTAGTGAGTACAACCGAATCAACTTGTTTAAAAATAACAAGAACACTAGAAATATTTAGATCATATTTAATAATACATCTTTTCAACTTATAAAAAGCATTGATAATTAAATTTTAATAGACTGAAGAATGTACACTTAATATATATATATATATATACCGGTATGTATATATGTGAAATGCTCAGTAACTCAGCCTCTCGGTATGGAAACAAACATGATTTTAACTTACCAAAAGGTTGAAAGTCATTATGGATAAGTTCAACCAAGTACAGATAAGTCAACATGCTTTCTCTAGACAGTTTCACTACCCCAAAGTTCATTCAGATCCAGATACAGAGATTCGGCTTTTCATTCAGGAAAACTACGTAACTAGTTGTAACATATTGATATTAGGAAAAAGAATGTTCACCTGCACAAATGAAAACTTACTATATATTATATGGAGGCCCTGAAGTTCCAACTGGTGTTACTTAATGTTTTTTTTGAGTACTCGCTCGTTGAACAGATGTTACAATGCATTATTATATCTTAGCATGTACATACAAGATGTATTGAGTTTTGAAATGCAGCGATTAATAAAATGTTTTTCTAGAAACTTCAAAACATATTAAATGTGACACAAAACAATTTTAACTACATACAGACAAATGATTTTTTTTTTTACATAATGCACCTGATATCCAGCAAACTCAGCCATGTAATATTTTTGCGCTTGCCACTAGCGTAGTATACCAAGAAGTGCTTTAATTGGTTGTGCCAGTCAGAAATCGATTGTGATTCCTATTTGATGGAAAATGACGTTATGTCATGCATTGAAAATGGTGCAAAAAATGGCTGCCTTGGCTTGATTTCTTCCTCCTTATTTTGACATGAAGCTTGTTAAAATTAAACTTTTCTGAGTAATGTGATATCTTAAGTTCGTTTTCATTATGAGATTTTATGAAACTTGACAGTTTCAATCGTTGCTTGGAAAAGCTCGTAAAAGTAAACACTAGTAAGACTCGTTTCATTAGATCTTACTCATTTAAGATCCAACATCTATCATGTAAAACATCTCTGTAGAAATCATAATGTAGTTTACAAATAATGCTACAGAAACCTCAACAACTACAAACACTGGTAAATTGTCTATCACTAAAAGAAATCAAGATAGTTTAGAAAAAAAAGTGTTTTACACATTGTGATATGAAATATCTCTACCATTAAATTTCAGTTCACATCTCTCACACACACAAGGTACATTTAGTCTTATTCAATCAGATGTATACTATAATAGTTTCATAAAACATACTGTGAATATATCAGAATGTTATTGTCATCATGTATTGTTATCATTATGTAAAAATATCAGATCAAATTATAAAGGAATTCACTATTCTTCCACAGAACTTTCAAAAAGAAAATAAAAAAATACTTTTAGAACTAAGCATATTAAAATTTCAAATTTGCAGAGGTTAGCTGGAATAGAAGGATTGAGCACTGAACATTTCAATGAAAAAAATGAAGTGGTTATGTTTCCTTGAATGCTTTAAGTTATATGAATGTCATTCATTCAAATGTTCCAACAGTCATCCAGTGGTTTTGGTAACCAATAAGTTATTTTAGAAACTCAGAAAATTCCAAACAAGGAATTGATTATTGATAAAATATATATTCTCCCTGTAGATTCTGCAATGTCTGAATGAATGTCAAATAAATTTAACAAAATGGCTATCACTGTCCAGGTGCTGACAAACTCTTGTCCAAAAACTTCCTTTTGGCAAAACACATCCACCACTGAAAAATACAAAACAAAGAGTGAGTTATATAGATAAATGAGTTCAACTTATCCAATGTGTCAGCAATTTAAAGCAATAATTTTTCTACTTCATAATTATTGCTGTTAAAACATGCATAAATACATGTACTTAAGACTTTGTGAAACCTATACACCTACCCCACTTCTTTATAAATGAAATTTGAGCTGAAAAAAGAACTTGAGAATATAAAACTCTGCCTGTAGATTTTGGCTCTTCAAATAATCACGAAAATTTCAAAATAAATAAAAAATTTGAAGTAACAACTGGCCAACATCGTTTTATCTTTATTTGATCTTCGAAAGGTTGATCTTTTCCCTTCTTTTCTTGTTCTTTGTTATCCTAAATCTGATAATAGTCTTTAAATGTTAAATCTGAGATAGTCGCCTGTCGACCATTTTGATCCATATCAAAACAATACGACTAGGGACCGAGGGGAACTTAAATATACGACATTTGAGAAATAGCAATAACAAACTTTCACTGTCATTACTCAAGATGGCGGTCTGTCAGCCATTTTGTTTCCCTGATCAATACCAAAACCGAAATGATACCCTTAGGGACCAGGAGGAATCTTCATATGAAATTTGAGAAAGTTCCATCCAGTACTTCTAAGTTCTTCAGAAATCGAGATAACAAATTATGACAGACAAAAATAAAAATGGCTGCCTGAAAATAATATTGTTTTACAAACAATCTCAAAAAGAACTATGCAGATCAAGAGGTAAAGAGGAACCAGTATAAAAAATCTGAGAATGATCCATTGAACAATTCTCTGCTAAATACTCATGTAACAAATTGATACTGTCAAAATCAAAGATGGCCCCCTGTCAGCCATTTTTTCCTGGGTCCATCCAGGACTTCTCAAGAAATTGCAATAGGAATCTTTTCTACTAAAAAGCCAAGATGACAGTCTATTTGCTATCTTTTTCTGATCAATTAGAAAATGAAAATGGGTAAAAGGAAATTAAAAAGTAAATTTAGGAAAGATCCACCTGGAAGAAAACAAAAGGAATTATGACCAAAAAAACAAGATGGCCATCTTTAGGCCATCCTGTTTCCTGATCAGTCTCGTCATTTTATTTTTCAGATCAGTCCCAAAATCAGACAAAAGCACAAGCAGAGACCATGGGGAATCAACAAAAGAAATTTTAAAATGAATCATCTGGTACCGCTCTAGAACTAATGATAACAAGTTTGTTTAAGGACAGACGAGCAACAGGACAAATTTTAAAGGACCTTGGACAAATTGTGATTTGAACAGCCCACCATCTAATAATAGTGTGCCAATAAAACAAATCATCTACTATTCTAAATTATCAAAATAAGAGCGAAAAGAATGTTGAAATCAACATCAGTGCCAAACAAAAACTTTCAAAAGCACTCACCAGTTGGATTAGACATGGTGAGAAGTACTCATACAAACTAGAAATTCACTGGAAAATTTACATAAAAATTCTAAAATCTATACATATGGCTTTCAAAAATGGTGCATCCGTCTTTAATTCAATCAAGTTCATTCGTGAATTAATTGTCAATATCCAGCAAATGTTTTGTTTAAACTGTTACCAACCATAAGTGTCATACTACTACCACTAAGTACACTCTATCAAGCACTGTAATATTAATTTCTTTCTAGACAAAATATCAAGAATGTCCGATAATAGAGCTTGTGTAAACATCGCTGAGAAGGGGGGTATAATAACAAACTACAGTACATTTTTCAAAAAAACTTATAAAAAAATACTTAAAATATTTGCTAAGACTGTTTTGTTCACTGTTTTCTTTCAAACAGATGTCTCATGACAACTGTTTTTGGTTTTATGCAATGACTGGTGAAAAGCAAAACAAATATTTTGCAGAGTGATTTTCATTCTGATAACCTTGTGCACATCCACCCTCTTCACTTACAGATAACTCAAAACAATCTGATGACATCAAAGCTATACGTGACACAATCATAATCAACTAAAGACTTGTGTTCATTTTTCACTCTGTTAGACAAAAATTTACAATTTTGCATGAGAATGTCTACTTATCCAAGGGAGTAGATGGCAGTAAAAATCGCTCTATCATCAGAAGACCAGATAAAAACTTCTGCCAGGTCCTGAACATAGTTAAACAACCACATACTCAGAACCTTGGTGGAAGGACAAAGGTTATCTGCCCTGGCCATGATGTGGAAAACAATTACAAATTTTCCTTCAAAAATTGACTAAAACGGTAAAATTTTATCATGTCCTGGTAATAATACCTTGCTGGGTTTATCTGGAACTTCAAAAACCTTTTCACAAATGCGGAGTCCTGTTTCCTGTCGTAACTGCTGCAGGTAGTTTCTCATGTTTTCTGTGGATGAAGACTCAGTTTACTGTACAGTTAAACTAAACATGTATTACTACAGCAATTTTAGGACCAAGAACAAGAGCATCCTACATTTAAAGTTACAAATGTATTTGGATATATAGTAAATTTGTGGTGCTATTTGAAAGTAAATAAAACAACAAATTTAAATCTTAAAAAACAGAATTGCCACATAAAAACCATTTGTTCTACCTGAAGATGTAAAGGCACAACTAGACTTTTCACTGAGTTCATCATCAGTGAACAGAGTAATTTTCAGGTCAGGTCTCCTTATAGTAGCTGGTGGCAACTTCACTGGGCAATACACAGGAGAGTGGTTAGTCTAAATAATTCTGACATTCTGATAACATTTTTGTATCAGTCTAGAGTTCACAGACTTAAGACCAATATAAAAAAAGCTGCTAAAATGTCAGTCAAATTCAGCTTAGAGCTCTGTCACATGCCATCCTCAGCAATATGGACAAGTGTCTTGCCCATGGTCACAACCAAGACAGCACTGACCAGTCTGTTTCTCAGCTTCCTGAGGAACACAAACCACCAAGCTAAGGCAGTGTTGAACCACACACCCCAGATCTTCACCAGAGGTTTGTAGTCTTTTGATGCTCTACAGACATATCTAGAGGTAACAGCCAGCTACATCTTAGAAAACAGCAATAACAAATAATAAATGTTTAAAAGATTGTTAACAGGTGATGAAGGACCAATGATTGGAACAGTCCACCGATAAGTTAACAAAACATGATGTAGTGAGCTTATTAATTATGCAAATAAATTGCTCACTAATAATCATGACATGTAAATCAAACACTTAATATCAAAATATTGTTTTACCTTCTTCATTTCGACTGGCTGGTTTAGAGAACATGGCGTTGAGTGGAAAACCAGCTTCTCCAGGGATCGGGTAGTTATAGATACCAATTGTGTACATCTCCTTCTGTCCTTGACTTTTCGACTGACACTAATATGTAAAACATACATCAAATGATTTTGTTTTATCCATTAAAATACTTATCAAATGTCAAGTTATATGAACCACATTTATGTTTAACTAACAATATTGAAAGCCAGAGTATATTATTATAGGATCCAGGTGCTTACATTTATTCAACCAAACATTAAAACCAATGTGCTGTTTAAAAAATAAGAAATCTTAAACTGTATGGTATATTTTGAATTGATTAATCATAAGTGAAACACATTTTCCACAATGAAATGCAATTTTGACAATATCTAGATTAAAGCTATACAGAAATTTTCATCACAGCTTACCAAATGATAATTTGTTTTTATGATGGATTTCAGAAAATTGAGAAAATTACACAGAGATTCAAATATCTCATTCTGCGCAGTCTTAATGGTACAAACCTTTTGGAGTTTCTTAAGGCACTCGGATATGAACAATGTGATGTAAATTAAGGTACGGTCAGCTTCGCTCTGTTTTTGAAAAAAAAAAAAAACCAATTGTTAGAAAGTATTCATATTAAAGAAACCACATAATTACGTACCCAGTGAACATTTCTAAAATGAATCAAACTCTCAGAAAATGTATGTTACATGTCTGTACAAATGGATATCAATTGATAGACAAGCATGAAATTGAATCCCTATGAGCTACCCAAAATTGGAATCAGTATGACAAACCAGTTTGTGAAATTAAACAAATTTACAGTAGTACCATCACTGTATAAAAAATATAGGAGCTACATCTGTTATACTGTACCTTGATTTCATAATTTCTAAAGAAGATATTAGCTTTAAAGTAGTGAATGGCCTCATCTATGATGTCAAAATCACTCGCTGAAACAGAATGAAATCTGCTGTTAATACATGTATATCAAAGCGAAACATAATATAGAAATTTTGTAACATCTGTAAAGGGGTCAAAATGGATATATCAAAACACTTAAATACTTCTATTTTTAGAAATATATGATGTAATGAAAACAATATAAAATCAATACCTTATCAGTTTAAGGACAATTATGAAATAATTCTTAAAATACAAAATGAGGCCATGTTGGTGCTAATTAATCGATTTGAATTATTTCATAAAATGTAGGTTTTTTTATCTAACTTTTGTTGTACATAAATAGCTTTTCTTTCTTTACAAAATGAATATTTTATAAAGATTTCTAAAAATACATTTTAATTTCAAGTATATGATTGTGATATATATACAGTGTCTAATACACTGGTTCTGATGCTATCAATAAAAACTGAAATAGAAAATATGATTCTGGATTTCATATAATGAACACAAGTTCAGTTTGTGCTGATATCATATGACGAAGGGGACTCATATATAAATACACACAAGAGGCTCATTGGGTCTGCATCACTAACCTGTCATTCAATGCTGTTTGCCAGCACATTTTACATTTGTGACCTATAAAGTGAGTAGGTCAAGGTTACATTTTTTCTTAAATGTATGGCTTTTTCCGAAGAAGGCTTATCATATTTCTGTGACTTTGGATTTCTAAAAGTTGTTTGATTATTTGATCCTATGACCTAAATATAATTTGACTTTTTGGCAGTATTTTGAGACTGGGAGTACAGTTTACCTTGAAAACTTGGGCACAATTCTTGAAGATTTAGGAGGTTTTGTACCCTTGTTCAGGAGTTATAATTGGGAACACTGCTTGTAGGCTAGTGAAGGTCATTTATTCAAACAAACTTGATAACCCTAACATGGCAATAAAGTGCCAAATATCAGTACCCTAGGATCATGGTACATTGAGCAGAAGGCATTTTAAGTTTTTAAAACTTTGGACCCCTATGACATTGTAAGTTGGCCAGGGTCATTGTTTTGAACACACTTGACAGACCTCCATTCCAGCATGCTACAGGCCAAATATCAGTACCTGGTGCCTTTTGATTATTGTGTAAGTGAGCCAAGGTCATCCATTTGAACAAACTCTGAGGCCCATCACCCAAGCATGTTAAAAGCTAAATATCAGTACCATGGGTGTCTTGGTTATTGGGAATTAGTTGTTTTAAGATTTAATATCAATTCTAAAATGACAAAATTCAGAATTTCCAATTTTATCATTTGCTTGATTTGAAACAAAAATATACAAATGATATTTAAATCTAGGAGTCTTTTCAATCTTGATTACACTGCCACACTGTCAAATTTTTGCATTACATACAATAACACAAGCACTACATCAATATACAAGAAGGGGAACTTAAAGGAAAGCAATCATGACAGTGCATGTATTTTGCTGGGTTGACTGACGGACTGACCAAGTGGAACTAGCTTTGCATGTAGATTATAATATGTATTTATTTCTATGTGATGTCCCTTTAATAGTATAAATATCTCAATAAGAGATTGTGAACCTGCCATTTTGTTTGATCATTCTCAAAATGCACTTTTTATCTTACTAGCTGTACAACAATGTGAAGTTAAGCCTAACAGCAGCAGATAGGAGGAAGCATTTAAATCAGCCCCTAAAAATATGATATATACTCTCAAATCTAAGAATTAGCAATCTTTTCAGTTAGTTTTTAAACCTGCAAATTTGAAAGGAGGATACTTTTAATCACTTCCATTTCACAACGAACAAGCTATTGTATGAATTTAAACTCAATTAATTAATCAAGATGAACTGTCTCTAGTCAACTTACTATCCCTGGGAGCAGGTCCCTTGAATGATGTCCTGAGTGGTAATAGAGCCATGTTTCCCAACACCTGAGGTGGGTTCTGGAATTGAGAGTGGTACGCCTGGAAAGGAAACAACAAGTCTTGAAAATCAGTGAAAAATATAGAAATCAAATAAAATCTGAAAAGTATCCATTTTCGTAGCTGAATTGGTAAATGACTCATGACCACAACTCCAAATTCATTGCTTTGACGGGCAGTTTTTGGAATTATTTCCCTTGACTCCGTGGATTTTTCAAAAATTCTAAATGGAACTTTGTGACAAAATACTTCAGCATGATACAAATATATTCGCATAAGCAAGTGAAACTAATTAAAGCAGTGAGATTTCTTTACCGGCATAATGTTTCCTTTTTGTTCCAATCTACTCTTTCGACTTCCTCGTTGGATCGCTTACATCCACAATAAATATTCTTTTATAATTTGCAAAAGTATGATGAAAACATATAAGTTATTATACCAACTCTTTCAAAATGATAAATTGAAATGTAAATGAAATAAATATTCCAATATAAGTATCTATTCAAAAACTAATATTTTATTTTTAATGATATAATTTTTGCTAAACGATAGCCAATGGTCATAAATGCGTTTGACAAAGAGAATCCGACACAGTGAAGTTCAAGGCTTAATTTGACGTTGATTCCAGCATGTTGTTGTGATCGGTGGTGAAAGAAGAGAGTGAAAGCTGTCTCAGTTTTGATTACTGATTCTTTTGCACACTAACAATGCCTCGTTACGGACAGCTTGTGATGGGTCCAGCGGGAAGTGGAAAGGTGACTTAATGTTTTTAAAGATTGAATTTTTGAGCTTATAGTCCCTCCACAACCAAACACATCAGTAATCAATTGTCCCTCGGCCTCGGACGGGAACAGTGTATAAACACTTGTCATATTTCGTCTCTCATTCCATAAAACGACCGATATGTGCTCACATGATGCAGAATAATTATGGGGTGTATTGACACTTCCTGCCGCAAAGAGGAAAAACGATCTAAACACCATAGTAATCAGCAGGTACTGGAGCACTTGCAAATCTGACGTATAGGCAAATGTAAACAACTGAGTCATAGCTGGCCGTGTCCAGTGTGCACATAAACAATGAATGACAAATTCTAGTGAGTTGGTAAAACGAATGTTTTTTTTGTCATAAGACACCATTTCCAGTGAATTGTTTGAATTTTGAATTGTATAATCCAATGGTGAGAAATGACATTACCTTAATTCATGAATTAAACGCCACATATTTGACTTGCTTCCACCACACAATTCACATTCATTACAGGTTATAATTTTTTTGGATGGAAATGCTGAAAGTGCACCTTTTGTCTGAATCTGCATCAATGGAATGCTTATCTGCAGACAACTCGAGGAGTGAATGATGTCAAATTTGATGGACTCACTTTAGCGTTTGTTACAAAATAGCAAGTGTACATGGATACTGAAAATATGTAACGATGAAATTTTCAAGAATTGACTGAAATTGACTAGATATGCCAAAAACTTTAGTTATACTGATTTACATGCTTCCTCATCCATTTTTCTTTCTGTCTGAAAGAAATGTTACCGGACCTCACCTCTATGTTAACATTTGCCCTATATATGTATAGCCAGATTTGCTGGTGCTCCAGTACATGATCTGAATCTAGCAGACAACTGCATAGCCAATGTACTGCATGTGAAAACGTTTGTTCCTAAAAAAATTTTGCATACCCGGTACTTCATTTTTTTGCTGACTGTGAAATTATCAAAGTGAAATATTTGTCCGCATTTCTCCTCATAGAAACTTATGCTGATCCAAGATAACTTTCTTTTATCTCGTGTATTTTACATCATTATCCATTTCTTTTGTGGTTCTGATGTTGGAGAGGTTTAAATTTCATATAAAACAACATAACAAGAACATTGTAAATATTGATAAATTTTTAATGGGGTGTTAGAGAGCATAGTTCTGACTTCCGTGACAAATCTGTGATAAGTATTAGGATTTAAACAGCGAAAGCTGTGTTTTGTGTTCAAGCACTGTGTATGAGAGTCTAATCCTTAGCACAACCCCATAGATGTGTAATAGTCCTTAGTTAATTAATCAAATACAGGCTTATTTTGAATTAGAAACACATGAAGTTCTTTTAAAAAATTGCAACAGAAAAGGGCACTACATTTTTGACATAGCCCAATAACCCCTGTAACACTGCGTACTTTACACAAAAAGTAGGTAATTTATTTGTCTCATTTTTTGTAAAAATCACTAAATTTATCATCCCCATTAGTTATCAACTGCTTATAGTGTGGCTAAAAATAGGACACAGGTAAATTCATGCTCACCTTTTATATTTAGTGACTATACACTGTAGTCTGTCCATCCTCACTGTTCGTATTGGCCACTCTATTAGGGTTTGATTCAGTGTCAAGTAGCTTCTTGAGTATGGAGTATATTAAACATATCAAGTTCTACTCGGATGTAACAGTCTGGTATGGCATGCACACGGGAACTATTTTTTATCATAAATATTATGTTTGTTGATTATTTCTGAACTAATATCGAGGGCTTCTTGGATTGTTTTCTTTTTATAATTATATCATATTTCATATGCTTTGATATGATACGATATTATTTACTGTTTGCTTAGGCAAAAAATTGAATTAAAGAGATAACTGGCTTTTGAAAAGGAGGTAATGTAGAACTAAATATCGATAGAATGATACAATGACATAATTTCTGTTTGATTGCTGCTGAGTTGATGCATGTACAGACGAGGAAAAAAATAACAAGAATCCATCCCCGAGGACGAAATCATGCTAGGCCAATGCAAATAGTTGCTTGAAATTGCTTTTCAAGTCAAAAGGTCACATGTCTAGGTCACTGTCTTTATAAATGGAAAATTTGTTTCTGACCAGTAACTCAATTCCCATTGAATCAAACAAAATGAAACTTCACACAGTTCCTCTTGCTACAATAGGATTGCTTTCTATCATGAAATGTCAAAGGATAAAGGTTACAGTTACTATGAATAGAATATTTGTTTCTTCTCAATAACTTAAGTTCCCTTGGGCCAATCAAATTCAAGCTTCACACTCACTTTGTTAATGCCTATGCCTGTAATGTGTGGATTGCTTTTCAAGTTAAAATTCCAAATTGGTTCAAAGTTATTGATATCATAATAGAAAATTCATTTCAACACTTAAACTCAAATCTCATCTAATATTCTGAGCTCCTCACACTGGTTAATCTCAAAAATAAAAAAAGTACCTGGAAAATCAACCTATTAGGGGCATTAGTATCATTCAGTATAATTATAATAAAGGGTACTTAAAAACTATTTATAGGTTTCATTACCTTATCGTACACTTTATACCACACTGACATTTACACTTTTATGGCCATTTGTCTGATGAAGCTGGCTGTACAAGTGTAGTCATGGAAATGTCTCTTTTTTTTTCAACAGGCTGCGATACTTATATAATCAGTTACTAACCTAAAGAAAATATTTTCGATTTTCTGTTAATTTTTTTGTTATCATTTAAGGAATGAATTTTAAGTATCTTTTTGTTTGGCTAATCAAATGTAACGGTACAAAATGATATCAATTTTTAGGCTAAATGTAACACAGTTACTGTTTCAGCCATTTGTCACACCCTTTGGTACAGCTGGTACTACTAATCCTATCTTTCTGTTTATGGAAACGTTTGATTTGTAAAATTATTCCAATGAGTTCACCACGCTACCTAGTGGCAGTGGTATGCTATAACATTTGTACATTGTGTATCACACTCCAGGGCAGCATCCTCAGATTTTATCATGAGATCATAAATAAAGTTGGTGACATCAAAAGATATGTCCTTAATGTGATCAATAATACATTAATATAGGAGGTTTCAGTATCATGTATTTCACACAAATAAAATGGGTTTTCAAGAAGCATCTTCAGACATTAATGTCTAAAATAATTGAAGAAGTTAGCAACATTGAAAAATGTATCGTAATGTGATCATAACACATCCTTGTACCATTTTTCATGTTGACATTTGTAAAATTGGTTGAGCTGAGGAGAGATAAATATTCCTCAATTGCTGACATTTCAAGTGTGTATTGTGTATGGTACTTGAGAGCAGTGTCATCTAGCAGTTTTCATATGTTGATTTAATGGGAATTAAATAATTTACAAGAAAGAATTCATCCCAATATCATTTTATCAGAAAAGAATATAACACATACCTATACATCTCTGGTTTTATATTCCTCCTCACATCATGATATGCATTTATATCACAGAATATTTTACTTAAAAGTATTTTATGAAATGTTCAATAAACAATAAATAGCCTAGGCTTATTGGGGGTGGAAAAAGCAAGCTAAATGTAAGTTTAACTTTCCCTACTTAAGTGATTATGCATTGTGGGTCTTGACATATTCATGCCAGACTTGAATAGAAAGATTGAAAAGATCTGATATCTATTTGTAAGATATCCATACAAAGCATGTCTCTTTATCACAGTAGTAATTGACTCACTTTAATACTATGACCTGTCCTTGGTATAAGAATGTCAGGGATGTGATTCTGATGTGAGCTGCCTCTGATTTAATAAAATTGCATTTTCTGCAGACACTTTTGATTGACGTAGGGTTCAAAGCTAATATTTTTCTAGTTTGTCCTTCTGTTTAACGTATGTACAGTGTCGGTGTTTGGCAGTGCACAGGGAATCTGAGGTGTGTGAAGATTTTATTTCTATGGTAATATGACCTGCCATGTAACTTTGGTTTCCTCTCTTAGTACACATGTTTCATACATTTTATAAAAAATCCATAAATAAAAACATCTGTAAGAGGCTTTGAGGCTAGATCTCTGGTAGAGGTGAGAAATTCAGTTTGTGGGATGAATCATATTTACGGTGCAAAAACTTTAGAAATACTTTGGTGGCATAAAAATATTATAATCTCATGGCATGTAACAGTATAACATTGATATTGTGAGAAAAGCTACAACAATGATGTCATTAACAAACATACTCTATAATAACTAAATATGCCATTTATAATTATGTCACCCAAATGAAGTGGGGGGACATATTTTGTTTGCTCCGTTTCTTCTTATTATTATTATATTTTTTTAATTATTATTATTATTATTTCTCAAAAAGTATTGCATGGAATTCAACAAAACTTTACACACATATTCATACATGCGAGGCGGAGTGCAGGCCACTTGAATTTTTCCAGTCGGTCATCTGAGCGGTCAGCTGTGGTCAAAATTTGGCCAAATTTTAGATATTGTCTGATTTTCGTGAAAATTGGTATACATGTATTAGGTGGCACAAGGAGCAAAATGGCGTAGTCCATTTTTGGCATGACTGCAGGTCTGGTTATTGTGATCATTTACTGATGAAGTGGTCATTTGGGGGACATTTGTAATGGTCCCCATTGCAATTAGTACTTGTCTTTTTTGAAATTTTAATGTTGTGCTGGGGTCAATATCCTTTATAAACTTGGGATTGTTTCACAGAATTGTACATTTACACAAATTTCACTGATTTGATGGAAAATTAATTTACAATTTAAAATTTTACTGTGGATAGCCATCTATATAAAAGCATTTGTTTTTTATGTGATGACTTATATCTTTTGTTTGTACAGTCGAACCTCATTATCTTGAACTGGTATAACTCTAAGACCCCATTTAATTCGAAGCATTTGGTTGGTCCCTGCCAAACTTTTTAAAGTTATAAGTTATAAGTTTGAACAGTCGAACCTCATTATCTTGAAGTGGTATAACTCTTAAGACCCCATTTATTTCGAAGCATTTAGTTGGTCCCTTCCAAACTTTTTAAAAAACCACTTTAACTCACTTAAATCGAATGCATAGTCCCACCAAGTTCCAAATAATAAGGTTTCACTTTACATTATAAAGTATTTTCAGTGATTTTTATTATGAGAGGTAAACATAAAAAGAAATTGTGAATGAATGTTAATTTCTGAGAGGATTACATCGTGAAATGATTCTCAATATACCTGTGTTGTTTACAGTCCACATACTGCAGTAACATGGTAAGACACGGAGAAGTCATACATCGTAATATACAGGTGGTAAATTTGGACCCGGCAGCTGAACACTTTGATTACCCTGTGTTGGCTGGTAAGATATCTATCATTACATCATTACACGTGTTTACAAGTTAACAATGATTGTAAGATGAAAATTGCTGTGATTCATTTTAACCAATAGATATCATTTTATCATTGTTTTGAACAAAACATAAATAGGCCAGCTGTCATTCATTTTTTTCTTGCACTCAATCTTCAAAACTTCCAGGTCAGTTAAAATGCAATATGGCCACCATGACTGTCATCTTGAAAAACATATTTTAAACATTGTTTTTAAACATTCCACCAGTGCTATTGTGCTGAAACTTTTTGATGTTAAGGAAAGGAAGCCATCAAAGCGATGCTATTTTTTGGTGTCTTCCAAAACTTTGACATTGGTGGCCAGTCTATAACATTGTTACACAATCATGGTTTCCCTTTGCAACACCTATTTTAAGATTATTTTCCTGGTCCACCAGTGATAATCAGCTCAGACTTTCATAAAATTATTCTGGGATAGTGTGGACCAAATGTTGTTATTTTTTGTGTTGGTCCTATATTTAATATGGCCACTATGGAAGCCATTTAAAAAACCTATTTTGAACTTCTCCAGCTAGCTCCACTGGTGCTATTCAGCTGAAATTAGGTGGGAATGTTGAGAAACTGAAATGAAGAAAGTGTTGTTGTTTTTCGTACAGTTACAGCTCATATTCAGAAAATTTCAAATTATATTGAACAGCTATTCTTGCTGCCACTAATTCACATGTGTCTCTTGCTTTTCCAATTTAAATATTTTAATTTAATGTCCATTTTTATACAGATATAAGGGAATTGATTCATTTGGATGATGCTATGGACGATGAAGCATTGAGGTTTGGACCTAATGGTGGACTTATTTTCTGTATGGAGTAAGTATGTTATTGAAGTGTACAATCATAAAAAAACTTAAATAAAACAATTTTTCATTATAGTATGTTTACATGTATAACACAATTTTTTGAGTATTGTCTTGGAAGGTGATAATTCTTAATACATGTGTATCTTTTATGGTAATATTTGGTGAGATGGGTTCCTTAGACTGTTTCTATGGTGTATGTGTATACTGAGTATGTATTTGCATCAGAAAAGTGACAAGTTATAACCTCATTGTTTGTCTTGTGTATAGATATTTGGCTCAGAACTTTGACTGGTTACAAGAACAGCTAGATGAGGCAGAGGATGACTATATCTTGTTTGATTGTCCTGGTAAGTAGTTGTAGACGTTCATCATGTCTGTGTATTTCCCATTTTTTTCATTGAGAGATTTGAGTAACAAAAATAATATAAAAAAAGTGTTCAAGTTTAAATGTATATACAAGTATTTCATTAGTGTGACCTCCATTCTGTCACTTTGTCTTGAGTTGTTAGGCCATGTAAAATTATACCCACACCGACATATTCCAGCCGCAGAATTACTGTAGTGTGGCCTTATTTCTGTCATTCTTTATCATGTTTCTAGGCCAGGTAGTATTATGCATACGTTCTGGCCATGAAAAAGATATTTTCATTAGTATGGCCTTTATTCTCTCATGTTATCTGATGTTTCCAGGTCAGGTAGAATTGTACACACACATTCCGGCCATGAAACAACTGGTTGAAACGCTACAGAAGTGGGACTTTCGTATCGCTGGAGTCTTCCTGATAGACTCACAGTTCATGATTGAAGCATCTAAGTTTGTGTCTGGAGTAATGACAGCTTTGTCCACTATGGTCAATCTAGAACTGCCCCATGTCAATGTGATGACGAAACTTGACCTGCTCAGCAAGAAAGCAAAGAAAGATTTAGACAGGTTGATATTTTTTCACTTTAAAAATGTTGGTGTCTTTTTATCTGTAAAAGTTGATGTCATTTAGTGATCAGTTTAGAATCCTTATCGTCGGATGATGGTAAATATCATACAGTATACATGTATGATGCAGTAAAAAGTTATATTGCCATGGTAACAAGTTTACTTTTAATGATGTATGTAACAAGAAAAACAGCATATATAGAACTTAGGAGACAAATAAGGCTCTATGGCCTCTTGTTAAAATTTGTTTTGTTCAACAATAATTTGAGTGGTTGCCTAGACTTTTGGGGTTCGATTCCCATAACGGACATGAAAAGATATCAGGTCATCTGTGGTCATCTGTCTTTTCCCCACATCCTCGAGCTTTCTCCAACAGTAAGACCCCTCGCACGCTGCCATCAGGGCCTACAAGAGTGATCAATAGAAATTGGAAAAACTTGTTTTGCATTTGTTATAAACTAAAAAGCTTATTATTTTTTAAACAATAATTAGATTCTTGTTAGAAGGAAAACTTACAGAAATACAAGTAAACAACAAAGCTCTTCCATGATCTTATATACTGTTTTAACAGGTACCTTGACCCAGAACTGCCAGTTTTGCTTGATGAAGAATTTAATAACAGTAAATTCAGCAGCAAGTTCCAGAAACTCAACTCTGCCATAGCAACAATGGTAAATATAGTAGATCCATTTCATTTTCTTGACAATAAAAATAACAAAAATTTTATATTTTTATGTTTTATGATTAAGATGCACCCTTCCAACTCTCTGGATTTGAAATTTATCAATGCATAGTAATTTCTAGTCTTTTTGTGATATCCATGGAAATCATTCCTGAACTAAACTTGAGAGGGTGTTAGGGAGTAAATATTTTCATTATATTTTGAGTTGTTTTAGGTAGTTTTAAGGTATTTGAATAGAAATTAAAAAGTCTTCTCCAAATAACCATGGAAATGAATTCAAGTTCTGAACTTAGTTGAATGGGATGAGAGAGAGTTCTAATTTCTCATTATATTTTGAATTGGTATTTAGTAGTTGGGAGGTATTTGAATTGACAATAAGATGTTGATCATTTTGACAGATCGAGGATTACAGTTTGGTGAAGTTTCTTCCCCTGGATCAGACAGATGAGGATAGTATCAATGATGTACTATTACAGATAGATAGTGCCATACAGTATGGAGAGGATCTGGAACCCAGAGAAATGAGGGTAAGTGTCATCAACCTGTTTTATTTGTAACAAACCCACAGAAATGTTGGGTAAGATTCATTAACCCACAGAAATGTTGGGTAAGATTCATTAACCAATTTCATCTTCACAAACCCAGAGAAATGTTGGGTAAGATTCATTTACCAATTTCATCTTCACAAACCCACAGAAATGTTGGGTAAGATTCATTAACCAATTTCATCTTCACAAACCCAGAGAAATGTTGGGTAGGATTCATTAACCAATTTCATCTTCACAAACCCAGAGAAATGTTGGGTAGGATTCATTAACCCACAGAAATGTTGGGTAAGATTCATTAACCCAGAGAAATGTTGGGTAAGATTCATTAACCAATTTCATCTTCACAAACCCTGAGAAATGTTGGGTAAGATTCATATACCAATTTCATCTTCACAAACCCAGAGAAATGTTGGGTAGGATTCATTTACCAATTTCATCTTCACAAACCCTGAGAAATGTTGGGTAGGATTCATTTACCAATTTCATCTTCACAAACCCTGAGAAATGTTGGGTAGGATTCATTTACCAATTTCATCTTCACAAACCCAGAGAAATGTTGGGTAAGATTCATTTACCAAGTTTATCTTTACAAACCCAGAGAAATGTTGGGCAAGATTCATTAACCCATAGAAATGTTGGGTAGGATTCATTAACCAATTTCATCTTCACAAACCCTGAGAAATGTTGGGTAAGATTCATATACCAATTACATCTTCACAAACCCAGAGAAATGTTGGGTAAGATTCATTTACCAATTTCATCTTCACAAACCCTGAGAAATGTTGGGTAGGATTCATTTACCAATTTCATCTTCACAAACCCAGAGAAATGTTGGGTAAGATTCATTTACCAATTTCATCTTCACAAACCCAGAGAAATGTTGGGTAAGATTCATTTACCAAGTTTATTTTTACAAACCCAGAGAAATGTTGGGTAAGATTCATTAACCCTGAGAAATGTTGGGTAAGATTCATTATCCAATTTCATCTTCACAAACCCTGAGAAATGTTGGGTAAGATTCATTTACCAATTTCATCTTCACAAACCCAGAGAAATGTTGGGTAAGATTCATATACCAATTTCATCTTCACAAACCCTGAGAAATGTTGGGTAGGATTCATTTACCAATTTCATCTTCACAAACCCAGAGAAATGTTGGGTAAGATTCATTAACCAATGTTCATTAACCAATTTCATCTTCACAAACCCAGAGAAATGTTGGGTAAGATTCATATACCAATTTCATCTTCACAAACCCAGAGAAATGTTGGGTACATTTACCAATTTCATCTTTACAATGTTGGGTATCTTCACAAACCCAGAGAAATGTTGGGTATGATTCATTAACCAATTTCATCTTCACAAACCCAGAGAAATGTTGGGTAAGGATTCATTTACCAATTTCATCTTCACAAACCCTGAGAAATGTTGGGTAGGATTCATTTACCAATTTCATCTTCACAAACCCTGAGAAATGTTGGGTAGGATTCATTTACCAATTTCATCTTCACAAACCCTGAGAAATGTTGGGTAGGATTCATTTACCAATTTCATCTTCACAAACCCAGAGAAATGTTGGGTAAGATTCATTTACCAAGTTTATCTTTACAAACCCAGAGAAATGTTGGGTAGGATTCATTTACCAATTTCATCTTCACAAACCCAGAGAAATGTTGGGTAAGATTCATTTACCAATTTCATCTTCACAAACCCAGAGAAATGTTGGGTAAGATTCATTTACCAATTTCATCTTCACAAACCCAGAGAAATGTTGGGTAGGATTCATTTTCCAAGTTTATCTTTACAAACCCAGAGAAATGTTGGGTAGGATTCATTTTCCAACTTTATCTTTACAAACCCAGAGAAATGTTGGGTAAGGTTCATTTACCAATTTCATCTTCACAAACCCTGAGAAATGTTGGGTAAGATTCATTTACCAATTTCACTGTAACAAATCTAGAAATTTTAAAGTAATAATCTTTATAAATCCTCTAGAATTGTGCCCTCACAAATCTACAGAAATGAGGGAATGTAAATGTGTGCTATCATACAACGACAAACTCTCTGTACAATATTACTACTCTGTTTACTGTAAAAGCATTCATTTTTATAGAGGAATTGTTTTCGTTGATTTCGTGGGAGACATTTAACCATGAATTCCACTATTAACAAACATATAAAATGAGAATAGATTTAATTACCTTTATTTATCCACAATAACCAATTGATTATGAAACAGTAATTTTGAAAACCAAGAAAATGGAGTCCCACAAATATTAAGGATTTTACACTAATTTGTCAGTAAAGTTATATTGTATTTTGTATCTAAACAATGCTGAAAAAATGGTCCACGCTATCAATCTTTGTTTCTGTACTGATTTAATCTAATTTCTGTTCCAGGATGACCCACAAGATGGCGATGATAATGAATTCGACAGTGGCTTCGATGGCTGACTGGCTATTGATGAATATGTGATGGATGTTTGAATGATGAATGCAAGATGAAAGGATAAAGTGAAAGGACATATTCATGGATGAATGTATGAATGAATCAAAAACGTACTTGGGAATGTTTGATGGACAGTGTGGAGCCTGTTTCTGATTGATGTCTTTCAATAATATTGAGATATTTTGTTTTGCAATTGTTGAATTAACTGAATTAAATAAATGCTATAAACATCGTGCTGTGTTTGTCGTTACAAATTTTAAAAATGTCTTAAAATGTTGTCCTGAATTTGGAATATTGTTTAAGATGCAAACATGAAAAAAAAATTTAGAAAAATTTAATTCTACACATAAAATAACGAAATGTTTCCAAATAAAGACTATTTCCAACTAAGATGAAAAATAAATAATGTTAGGATTTTTGGATTTGAAGAGAATCAAAAATTAATTTTTTAAAAATGAATTGACTTGCTGAATGAAATGAGTCAGAAAGGACAAGCATCCCAGTTTTCAACAGAATTCAAGGACAAGTAAGAAATGAAAATAAATCAATATAATGTGCTTTATTTATAAGTGTCCTCTAGTGTAAATGAAAATAGATTACCTGTCATATTTGCAGTTTCAATATGTATTGCTGAGAATTTGTCATTGCACGAACTTGCCAAAAAGTGACTGTACTATAATTTGATGTCACCTTATAATATATACTTAGAGTGATTTCTACACTATTTAGGAGCTGTTACAAATTATTTGTAATGTTTTACCCCATTTAATCCTTTCTTATCACAAATTCTTTCAAAAACTCAAAATTGTCATAAAATCTAATTTGGCATTATCTTGCACTAGAATAAAGATAAAAATTTAATTTCAACCTGAAATTCATCATATCTTCTATTAGGTCCTTACTGTGGTGTATGGTGATGGAAACAGTGAAAACAGGATGAGTTAATGTTACCTTGATACAGAAGTACTGATAATCAAGAAAAGCAAAATGGATTTCTTACTCAAATAGGTAGCAAGGGTAAAATATCGTGAATCAGACGATTTTAAGTTGAGGAATGCTGTAAAATATGAAAAGCAGAACTCATGCCACCATGAAAGAGTGAATATGAGTCATTTTTCAAAATTATTGATGACAATTACCGTCTGTCTAAATATTCACCGTGACAAAGTGATGGGGTATCGATCGGTCGAGAAGCGTCCTAATTTTGATGAATAAATGGTTCGAGCTTACTCTGCTATCGTGGCATCAATAACCAGCTTCAAATTGTGATTTAAGATATTTATGTATATGTCAATTTATGGTTTATTATACACAGATACTTAGCTTTTTGTCCTTGAAAATAAACAAGACAGGCCAAACCAGGGAATCAAAGAAGAATCTTCTGCTTCATCGGCTACACCCGTCATGTAAACCTTGGTAATGTCATGCGACGTTCTCAAATTGCGAACCAAGATAATGATGAACTTACACTGATGATAAAAGGTTGATTTCTTCCATCAAAACAGCGAGCCGTAAAAAAGAACCAATAAAATTTATTACACTGGCCTTTTAACTCCCTTCTTTCACTTGTAGAGAACAATATATTTAGCATAGTTATATAGTGAATCCACTTCATTTTTACTGCTTGTTGATTCTTTGCATGGAAAGTAAATTATTCAGCAGTTTGTTTTGTTCCCAGGTATGATGAACGACACGGAAATTGGTTTAAACCTGGATAGGTTGCTAATATATCGATACTTTATTTGATATATATATGTATTAAATTCCTGAACTCCAATTTAATTGAATCAGACTATAATACTTCTGTAAAGAATAAAGATAAAAACGGTTATTACCACAAGCAAAAAATATTTTTATTTGAAATGTAATATTTGTATGTAAAGGCTTGTCCACCTTAAACAACACAAGGCTCCTAAACGACAGCAATATAACTATTATAGATTGTTTTGCTATAGATGTTATGTAAGTCCGTTTTACATTAATTCTAGGATTCTACTCGAATGCACACTTATATATCGTATTAAAATACATTTCTGTAATAGTATTGAAAATTTGGATTCACGATGGATGAAAACAGTTCCAGAATGTTTCGGGCGTCAAAGTTAGAAAATTAGATATATTGCTGATTCAGTGTTACTTATGTTATATCTAACTTACAGAATTGTTCTAATCTTTTCCACATTACATGACTACACATCATTCTTGTGTTACACAATATACAGAAACACACTGTCAAATATTTTGTGGGTCTCGATTTTCGCGGTTAAAAAACAAAAACCAAAAACCCTATATTTGTGGAATCTTGATTTATTGTCAATAAAAGTTAAACATGTACTCAAATAAATATTAGCAGTTTGTTGACATATGACCTTGTTGATTAAGAGAATGTTCCAAACTAATAACACCCCCCCCCCCACAAACAAAAAACAAAAAAAAAAACGCCATGAAACTCCACGAAAATTAATAATTCTATAGTATAGAAATATAAATTTAAAATAAGGCTTTTAAAAATAAAAGGAGTGTACTTATCATTTCGCGCTTTTCGACGTTCATGCATAATCTGTCCAAAATGGTGTTCACATCTCTTTTAATAGCATATAAATTTTCTGATATTACAATTTCAAAATACTATACTGACTCAAACTGCTTGTCCTCATTGGATATTCATCCGCCATTTGAACACATACACAATAGTATCAGTAAAACACGTCTAAAACTACATACGTCTTCCACGGTCTTATCAAGTGTGATCATTGTTTATTTAAGACGCTGTCCTATTTTAAATGATCATAAAAATAAATAAAGGCTACCCAAGCACCCACATTGCTATGGAATCTTACGTGAGGTATGTCGGTACACGATATCTACGGAAATAAATCGGTATTTTTCGGATTAAGCTTGAACAACATGTAGGCGTTATGATCAGCTCTTATCTTCGCATTAACATTTCTATCGGGGATGCCACTGTTTTTATTCACGACTGTGTAAAATAAAAATCAACATCAATTTGGCTTGTCATATTGAAACTAAACACATGTCATTGCAGACTATGGACACATGTAGCGAAGATAAGAAGTGTTTAGTATTATGGTCTACTTGCGTGTGGACTCTGAAGATAATCTAATTTCAAAAAATGATACTGCTAGTCACTATTTTTTCGCGAGCGGAGTGTCATTTTGTTTTCTGATTTGCCTACAAGATTTTATGACTGGGAGAAATCGTATTTAGGTATTGTAATGATTATTTTTGTAAACAGTATTCATGAATGAGATAAAGGTAAGGAATTATTGTTCTCGTGGGTGCGGTATGAATATGAATTCTCCGTATTTATTGGTTTACAGTATATTGACATACTGATAAAAAAAAGTGCAAAATGGTTATTTTCAAGTGATTTTTTTCAATGTTAGAGCAAAAGTAACTCAAATTCAAAATGCGTGCACACCTGGAATTCGTTAAATACACTTCTAAAAAGTTAACACAAAGGTGATATGCACGCATGTTGCAATACCACAACAATATTGTAATTGTAGTTTCGAAAATCTTACTTATACATCATAAGTATGCATATATTTAGAAAAAAAGCAACAAAAAAGAAAAGATAAAATCTAGATTGTCAGCTATTTAGCGATCTAATCCCATGTGATAGAATAATGACAACTTATGCCAGAAATATAATTATTTTCATGACATTCCTGAGAAAACATTAGAGAAGTGTCGAGATAGGCGAAATTTCTTTTCAGCATGGAATGTTGCGATAAGACATTCTCAGAGCCTTTTGAGTCGAATTTTCGGCTCGGTCAGCGATTAAGAACACATCTGATGGAAGCGTCGGTTTGGGTGAATGACATACCTTATTTATTCACGGGCTTGCACATTGACTTATCATTTGAATCTTTATTTCACTGTCTATATTCAAACATTATTTTAGTGTAAAAAATTGAAATCATATTTTCCCTGTCGACTTCTTGCCGGCGCCTACAATCTGGATCATTAAAAATAGTGTCTCCTATTCTCATTGCGTAGGAGGCGGTAATTTGGATATGCACTTTCCTTTTTTTTCTGAAAAAATCTGTTTAGTTCTAAATATCTCCCTTAACTTTGGGCTGTGTCTCTTTAGCCGAGAACAGCCAGAGTCTTAAAAATAATGGTACTTACCGCTCCCACCTTAACACTCAGAATTGCGGGAATGTGATGCTTTTAACTTTCTGTGACCGGATGTGGTGCCATTCAGGGACTTTCGGGGGCATATTTCTGTGTGATAACACTATAAAGTCGGCATTAGTTCCGCAATATATATATATATATGAGTGATAATCTTTTTTTACATGCACTCATTCTTAAATTCTAACCCATGTACACTTTAAATTCAGACACGCACACACTAGCATACTCTGTTACATAGCACACTTACCCGCGATCACACACATACACTCACTCGCTCTCGATGACAGGTTCTATTGTAAGAATCTGCTTAGTCAGGTACTAAGTCAATAACTTTCATATCATATTGTTGTATATGAGATAGGACATTATATTAAACAAGAGTTCCGCGAGGCGGTGATGATACGACCGTCATTGGCTGAATAAACATTTTGCAACAAGAAAGGGAATAGAAGTGACGTTTCATATCTGAGCAACACGTTAAGGTCATTTACAGACAGTGCCAGTTGTGTAATGGTGGAGGAAACCGGACTAAACCATCGAGTGTCAATGGTGATAACACTCCGACACGATCCATGACAAATACTAAAGTAGAATTCCATTAATTTTACAATGGCCATTACTCGATAAATATCGGATGATTTTTTTGGTCATTGAACTTGTCCGAGGTATGGCGGTAATAAACCTCCATTTAAAGTTTTATGTGTATTCGTTGGAAACTACAGGAGATATCGAGGGGACACTGTATAGGTAATTGGAATAAGAAGCCATAACTATTAATTATAAGACGAAAGTTGCGGTTGCCCAATGTGTCCTAACTATAATGGTGGTAAACCGCCCTGTGAAGTTTGAAGTTTAATCCGTTGAAAAATAATCAATATATCAAGCAGACAACGTTTTGATAATAATAAAGGGCAATAACTCCGTGAATTACAGTCGGGAAAATGCAATCCTTGAAGTTGCACAAGTGATCATGGTAATCAACCTTCCCGTGAAGTTTGATATTGATCTAATTGAGATATTGAGCGGACACTGTTTCGGTAATTGAATAAGGGGCAATAACTCCGTGA